TAGTGATTTTTGCGCTACACACTTGTCGGCTTGCGTCACGATGTCTGCTTGTAGGAGAGGACTTGTATGCAATGTTGACCGTTTGTGTCTATCGTTCGGCGTGTTTCAGTTCGTTCGGGCAAACTTTACATACAAAGAAATCACCGTCAATATTCGCTTCAAGATTCGCTGCGTCGCTTTTGAGATCTCTGGAAATGTCCCAGAAACCAGGAATGTTGCCGGCGGGCGGGCATATCCTGGCAAGCAACTCTGAGAAACCCGGCTATCTTATAGGTTGCGTATTAGTCTTATCTATGCGTACAGCACGGCACTTATCATGGCTAGCACCGTGTTCGATGCCACTGCTTTGAGGATTTATTTGGAGTTGACATTTTTATTAGTTACATTGTTTGATGTAAATACAAGCAATGCAATCAGCAGTACCGTTCGAGACTCTATCTGCGGTCACATTTTGGTCATCAAATTCAGGTGGCAATCAGCACCAGGACTACCACCATATTTGGTGCACTCGCGGCCAGGAAAACTCAAACGTCTACTGGTGGTTGCAGAGGGACTTATGCAATAATGAGTACCTCCGGTATACTCGTCGGTGTACCTTTTGGCAAATGTCTGTCTCTGTTCTTGCACCAGGATGCCCGGCTGCGACAAGCTTTGGTCGTCTAAGAAATAGTTGAGTCTGGCGACCTATGTGTACAGAATTCTTCTACCACTCCCGGCTTGGTCAACCACAGATCTCCTACATCCTGTTATCACCGCACGTTAGGCAGCCGATGCATCGGGGAAAGGACCGCGGGTCGGTCTACTCCTATCGCAGAGGCACCTGTGACGTTGTGGCTCGATCTCGAAATCTCGGTCGGCGCAAGGCCTCGCGAGCCCCAGAGTGTCTGCGGGCTCGGACCGGTGAGCTGCAACAGAGCGAGAAGGGCCGACACGATAAGACGAAGCAGGGTCGGGACTTTTCGCTGACTCAAAGGATGGGAGTCAGCGCTCATCCTGCTAACCACACCCGGGTGCTGGTGCGGGCGGCTACGAGGTATTGGACCGACAGATCAGACGATGATCTCCGTTCGATGATTCCGCTTGAAGGAAGAGAAGAAGCTCTAGCGGCATGGATGATAAGGGGCTATCATGCCGATCTTCGCCTGGATTTTGGTGTTGCACGCACACCCGAGGGTTACGCGAGTTGTAATGCTTGATTTTCGAAGTACCTGGAGGAAGATATTGCGATTATCCTCCGTACGTGCGCATGCCTCAGTACATCTCGAGAAAACTTTGCTGCTCGGCTCTTCGGAACGCAGTGAGGGGCAGACGGAGTCGAAATGTCATGAAGTCGGGGTGGTCAAGGGCGCCAAGCGGACCAGGATTACGATGCCGAAACGAGGGCGACTGGCTTTCATTATGCCGGATCAAGCGGCAGCAGCAAGATAGCATGCAAACATGATTTTGGTTCGCGGAAAGCGTCTTAAAAGCTGTTGTGCTTGCGGCCACTATGGAGCGCGAAGACATTATGTAACGGGGTGAATCGTTACATAACAATTTATAAAGATTGTTAAACAGAATATAACTATAAGAGTTATATTCTCGGAATATTAATCATAAGGACAATATTCTGTGCTTCCAAGTAGTTCCTAATTGGTTGATATAGGCCATCTATATCAACCGAGAGGCTGCCTTTTACGACAGACGCACTATTGCAATGAGTGGTGAGCAGATAACCTGATTTTACATTTGTATTTAGACATAGTTAGATGAAGATAAATAGTGATTTATTGCAGACATTAACTATTATAAATACAGTTCTACTTTTACTCTAACCGTACTCGCTTCTTCTTACGTCTTCCTCTGCACGTACGAGTGTTGACGTGAAGTTACGAGGCACCGCCTTATTCTGTTATCAGAATAAGTAAGCTTGCTATCTGCAAGTACAAGCTCAAGTGCCCCGTTACACCTGGTAGCACTTCGTAGTCCGTCCAAGGACCGCGTTCACATCCAACATGAATATGTTGGATGATGAAAGATGACAAAGCTTTCACGCTACGCGTGACGGCTACTCCCATTTGAGCGATGTCGAATGGGATGCGGTTGAACGAATGGGTTCGACCATGGGCATCCATGCTGTTAGCGTCATGCTAAGAGGCTCTCAATAAGAGATGCCCAACATGCTACTACTCGCCAAGTTCATTCAAAATGAACTTGAGCGCAGAACGCGAGAAGTAGCCTTGCTTCCACCAACAAGGTTCTCAACAAGCAGAGTTGTTGAGAGAACAAGGTGCTCAACAGTTTGAACTGTTGAGACAGCAGCGGCTGCTGCTGGCGGAGTCGATGCACTCGCGTCGGCCCGAGACTTTGGAGATTGACATCTCAAAGTATGGAGGTCGAAAGGACTCCCTCTTGAGAGTGGTTCAAATCGAGTGGATGACCGCGCCATAAGGGCGCGTCGCATCGACGACGGGGATATGCAAGTTTGCATTTGCCCAGTCAAATCTGGCCAGGACGTGCCAAGACTTGGGCACTGGGGCTCAAGCTGCACGGCCATATGCGTTTGGGTCGTTGGGAAGTCTTCCAAGTCGCGGCTCAGACAAACGTTTGAACCGCCTAGAGCTGAGTTCAGGGCTCGAACCGAACTAACTGTGAAGCTCAAGCAGGGTAAGCGTGATGTGCGCTTACGCTCAGCTTATACGACATCTCACGAGTTGTATAAGTTCCAAATCCGGTGGATGAACACACGTTGGTTTCGGTGTTCATGCAGGGTCTTTGCGGATGGTCCCGTCAAGACTCACCTGTTCCGGCTTGAACTAGATTCACTTTCGGGGAACAAGGCCATTTCAATTCGCGGAGCAGGAAGACTTCGGTCAGAGACAGGCTCAGCGCCAGCTCGACATCATATCGTCAACCGAGACGATATGACAGCGGGAGGTCCAGAGCCGATGGAACTCTGTTATGTAGAGAGCGAGGAAGGCTCAGCTCTACAGGCTACAAGAAGTTGCAGAGATGCAACAGATGTCAAAAGACAGGACACTACACTTACGAGTGTAGTGCCCCTCGTCCAGTGTCTGGCACTGGGCGTAGTGACGATCCCCCCATGAGAAAGGAGGCAGGGGACGAGGTCCGCAGTTGGTGCAAAAGACGCAGCAACGGGATGGACAATCATAAAACGGACAGGATCAGTAGGTGCGGAGCTTTTCCCTACACAATCCAGCTTAACGTCAAGAGAATTTGTAGGCCTCTTGATGAAGGTTGCTCCCAACACACAAACGTTGTGCGTTGCTGCTCTAGGTAATGAGGTCTCTCTCATTTACCTTGAAGCTTCGAAGTGACGAATAGTTGTCCCTTCGAGCTCTAGTCGATTGTGGGGCGTCCAACAATTTTGTGCGACGCCAATCGCTAGAAGATGGTCACTTTAAATTCGGTGAATGTGACACACCTACCACGAGGATGACGGTACGTCTTGCGACAGGCGCATCCGTAACCGTCATGAAGCGTATAGTGAAGATCCACTATACGCTGAGAAGATACCCAATGACGATGACTTTATCGTATTGGTTTTGGATGACAAATTTGATGTCATCCTTGAATACCGTGGCTCAGAAGGTACGAACCACGGGTAAACTGGCAACATCGGACAGTAACGATGCCTGCCGCTTGTTCATCAGATGGCCATCTGATGAACGTTTTGGAAACGTCCACAAGCGTGGTGGATGTACTACGAGTGAGTGCGATGGCCTCACTTGTGGTACGGTCGTTAAGTACGACTGCACCAAAACCTTAGTGTACCAAACGGTTACTTCCGGAGCAAAGTTCCGGCGGCTGTGAGGAAACACAGGCTGCGCCGAAGGTCCCACCACTCGAATAAGTCGGGTGGACTGGGACAAAGATGTATCCCTAGCGGGGAACATCTAGAAGAGAAACAATCGATCGCTCAGGTTAAGCGAAACGATAATCCTAGATCGACTGGAGAGTCTTTTCGTAGAGGATCTCGCTGTGGTTGCGCAACCCCAGCTAGAGGAAGTAAAGGGAATAAGTCCCAAGATTACAAATACGGCGGAAATAAGTTTGCCCGAAACCCGCGGGAATAAGTCCCCGGGAAGACGAAGGAATAAGTCCTTCCCACAAGCCTGAGGGAATAAGTCCCCGGAAATGACAGAGACATTGAATGTCATAGTCAATAACGGATCAAGTGTAGGCGCTTATGCGCCAGTCTGATTACTGGTCGGAGTTGACTTCGGAATCACTCAGTTGCCAACGCTCGAACATAAAAGGTTCTTGCGGTTGATCTGCGTAGTGGCAAAGTCAAGCAGATCTGCATACTCGTCATGACAGGCAGTATTGTCTAACCGTTTTACGGTCAGCAACAGTGTTTACTGAGAACGAGAGAGTTCTCAGTAGTTCATCTATGGACGAGTGTCTAGATGAAAGACACGAATTGAGCGATACTGAGTCCCAATCATGAGAATCGCTCGACAAATCCTCGCTATGAAGATTTGGTTGAATTCAAGGATGTATTCCTGAAACTGTTCCGTGTGAATTACTGAAGGATAAAGGTATTCGACACGAGAGGTCGAGCTTAAACCAGGCTCAGTGCAATGTCATGAAGTGATGTCCACTGCCTCGTGAACAAGTACTTGCGATCGTCAAGTTCTCTTTGCCGATCGTTTGGACGCTGGACCATGTGCGGAATCAGTTTACCCCACATGGCTCACTCCAGCCCTTCTGTGCAAAGGCAACAGGAGGGTGGCGGATTATGCATGCATTTAACAAGTTGAATGCTGCAACATGGAGTACCGGCTCGGACGCCGATACCGAGGAAGGACGTAATCATTGATGGTATGTCCAAGAGTACCATCTTTTCGTCCATGGATTTGATGGATGGCTTCTATCAAATCCTTATGCGCACCGAACGGGATATACCCTATACCGCAGTTAGCACGCCCTAGCGGCATGCTCTGGGTAAGCTGAAGTAATGTCCACAAGGAAAAGCGTAAGTAATGCCCCTGCCACATTCAACAGCAGATGTGTATCATTGGAGAAACGACACCACTATTAGCGCCCGAGTCTCGCGACCTCGAGCGCCTTCGCTTCGGCGATGGTTCATCTGACTCATCAGATGAACCAAAGATGCTGCGACGCAAAGCATCGTCCATGCCACGCTTGGCAGGCGGCTTGGATTCAATTGCCGTCGATACGGATCCGTCATCCGTATCAGGAGAGTACGAGACACCGAGCTCGTACTCTGTGAAGACACGAGTGTCTTCATGACCAGCGCCTGCATCACCAGGTGATACAGGCTGAGTCGATTCAGCAACCGATGGGACATCAGTTGCTGTAGTTTCTGCTTCGGCGTCCGCACAGAGACGCGCAGACGCGCTCTCGGCGGCCTTGCTCGCGCATCGCATGGGCTTGTTTACCATGCGATGAAATGTTGGAAAGTGGACGCGTACCAACAAGTGCAAACCCCGTCCCAAATGATTTGGGACGAGTATCCATTCAGTCAATCAGTCACTAAAGTGACTGATGGTTAAGGGGGGGGTGATGTAACGGGGTGAATCGTTACATAACAATTTATAAGAAATTGTTAATAGAATATAACTATAAGAGTTATATTCTCAGAATATTGTCATAAGGACAATATTCTGTAGCACTTCCAAGTAGTTCCTAATTGGTTGATATAGGCCATTATATCAACCAACGAAGACGCGCCACGACAGACGCACGCAATGAGTGGTGAGCAGATAACTGATTTACACATTTGTATTTAGACATAGTTAGATGAAGATAAATAGTGATTTATTGCAGACATTAACTATTATAAATACAGTTCTACTTTTTACTCTAACCAAGTACTCGCTTCTTCTTACCGTCTTCCTCTGCACGTACGAGTGTACGTGAAGTTACGAGGCACCGCCTTATTCTGTTATCAGAATAAGTAGCTTGTACTGTCACCAGCACAAGCTTCAGGGTGCACCGTTACAGATTGCCTGCCTCGCCCATTCTGGGATGTCGAATACCGCTGCCGTGAATAAAATGGATGGAAGAATGATGGAGTTTAGAATCAACACTCGATTCTCCACACTAGTCGCGACCCTGGAAGCTGTGATTAGCCGCCGTTGAAGCCTTCGAATCCTTAAAGCCCAATTGCGGTTATGTAAGGCACCAAGACCAACCTCATAGCCCAGGTACCTTACTGTTTCTGTCTGGTGTAGCACCGAAATGCCAACCATTTCTCGCATCTGCACCCCTGTGTTCAAGAGTATGATTTTGCTCTTTGACGGCTGGGCTTCCAGTCCTGATAAGGCTCCAAAGCGTGATACGAGGGCAAGAGCCGGTGCCAACTGATTCGCTTGCTCGAGAAAAATCGTGGAGTCGTCGACAAACGCTGAGAAGCGGTGCGTTTGAGTACGGCTACCTGGTACCGGGAGTCCTTTCAAGGTGGGAGACTGCTGAACTGCAATTCCCAACAACTCTACCACCACGAGGAATAGCAAAGGGGCCAAGGGGCAGCCTTGCTGAATTCCTGACACGACGGATATTGGACTGGACCGTTCCCCATTTACGAGGAATGTAGCCGTAGTCCCTTCATGCAGCCGAGTAATTAGCTGAATATATCGTTCCTCAAATCCAAATTGTCGAAGCGCCTCGTAAAGAAAGCTTCTGTCCACAGTATCATATGCCTTTCGAAAATCAAGTAGAAGGATGACCCTGCTATTAATCGCGTCGAGAGTTGCATCAGAAGAAGCAGTTGCCAGTTGGGAGAGCATCATCAGGACAGACTTCAACATCTGCCTGCCATGGACGAAACCTTGTTGTGAGTCACCAATGACCTTAGGTAATACAACTTGTAACCTAGTCGCCAGCACCTTCGCGAAGATTTTGTAACTGGTCTGAAGTAGCGAAATAGGCCTGTAATCCATAGCATCAGCTGAGTCACCTTTCTTCCGCAAAGGTATGATCAGCGCTTCCAGAAACGAAGGTGGAGGATCTGAGCCCGCCAATATTTGATTACTGATTCGCACCAGGGCTGGAACCAAAAGCGCCGGCGTATCCTTGTAAATGTCGTTGTTTAAACCATCAGATCCAGCCGATTTATGTCGACATTGGCCCGTGATGGCTGTAATAGCCTCATCTTCAGTAAAATCGGCCATTAAAGACCGATTCTCGCTCGAAGAAAGAACCCGTTGGGTGGGAACTTGAACAAAATGACGAATGGTGGCTGGTAAGGCTTCCAAAGGGGTACTGCGATGTACCACGCCTAAAACAGTGGACCACTCTGAGGCAAATTTATCTGCCGTCGACATGGTGCGACTAAAAACCGGTCCATGAAGCTGCTTAATACCGGTGACGGTTTGCTCGCGCTCCCAGTCGGCAATTTTGCGATAAAAAAACCGTAACCGATCTGTTGTCCTGACTAGCTGTTGACCGAGTCGCACAATATATTCCTGACGCAGTTCTTCCATCTTACAGGATATCCATTGTGGCCTGGTAAGCAAGTGCTGCTGTGCCCGTCTCTGAATGTTATGGCGAAATCGAGCCCTGCGCTGCTTCACCCTCTTACTGACACGCCGAATACAGCGTCCACACTCAGCAACGTCTAGATCCCAAGTCCTGGTAGATAAAGCTTGACCAACAGCCATGCCATCCATTTCCTCGACAAGTTCGGCTATAATGTTATCGGGGTTCGATGCTGTGATGGGATACACCACCCTATCACGTCGAATATGAGTGCGACGCCTGGTTGGTTTTCGCAGGTGTATAACTACCTCCTGATGGTCCGACAAATTTGAAGGTAAGCGCGTCTCAACCCACAGGACGCGGTCCACCCAGCCTTCCGGTACATAAAATATGTCAATACGACTAGCTCTATCCCCTTCCCAGTATGTAAAATGGTCCACAAAAGTATCCATGGAGTCGTCGTCTGCGTGTTCGCGAAGCCAACTTGCATCAGCCAATCCTATCGTAGACACAACGTGGTCCAGGGCCGGGCTTTCTGACCGGTTGGAGCGATGCTTCCCAAATCGATCCAGAAGGGGACTCTGGACGCAATTAAAGTCGCCGACGATCATCGTATTTGAGGGGTCTAGATTTAAGGTCAGCAGGGAGGTAAAAAAAGCCTCTCGCTCGGACCGCAAAGTAGGAGCGTACACATTCACAAGGACTTCCCCCATAGATACAGCGATCGCGCGTGTGGTCCATAAATCCGGTAACCAGGCCGTCGTATGTGTTGCAATTTGTGGAGTGAGTAGAATAGCAACTCCTGCCCGTTTTGACGAGCCAATACTCCAGTACGATAGGACAGGGGAAGTCGGGTTAAGATGCTGACCCCATAGTCGAGCCCACTGATATCGCAGCCGAGTTGCCTCTGCCTCAGTGTGCACATGTGTGTCCTGGATGCACCAAGCCCCTGTTATGTGTCGATTTGTCTTAGCCCGCCAACCCGACATCCAACTGTCGCGCACGCTGTCCTTGAATCCTCGTACATTTTGAGATATGTAAACCATGTCACCCCTCCAGCCTTGGAGCCGAGATGTAACTGGCTTAGAAGAATTGGTCCATTCTTTAAGCAAGAGATGGCGGCCATAGGCGTCCGATGCGTCGAGTGATGCACCACCGGGCCTGAAGGCCTCGTTGCTCCGTAAGCTGCCCTTAGTACTCAAGTAGAAACTGCTGCTCTGCAGGAGCCAACGCAGTATTAAAGAAGCAAACCAGCTTGCGCCAATCCACCTTGGATCCCCCGTCAGCGTAATACACCTCCTTGTAGTGACTGTTGTTCCGAAGTAAGCGTAGGTGCCCTCGAAGTTGCTCGGGAGGCTCAAGTGGTTTTTCCCCATCCCCGGTCAGCGCAAAAATCTCAGCGTCGAACAATAGCGCACATAGTAGGTAATAACTCAGGCGTATACGTCGGTGAGGGTCACAAAGACGCAAAATATCATCGGTAGCGTAGTCTACCTCCCTCAGCTTGACCCAATCGTCGGTATTGTCGATTAATGGGGCCAGCCGGGAGGAAGGCAATCGCTGCTGTGCTCGCACGATCCATTGATCTAGCCACAGTGATTGTATAGAATCTTGCACTCGACGCCTGTACTCAAGTAGACCAGACAGCAAGCACGCCTGTCGCCACTGAGCCGTCCACATCCCGAGAACGTGATCCCCTAGGCTAGCCAGCAGTTCACCCGGGAAAACAAAGCGTCGCACGTGATGGATCAGCAGCTCTGGCTCGACCTGGGCAGTTTTCAGCCACGCCTCAGGGTTACCATACACTAGTGGATATGGCGTAGAAGCCGTTACTGGCCATTCAACGCCCAGAGCATGCCAGAGATCCGGCCAGTCGTCGGTATCCATTCGTTCCTCCATCCGGGTGATATAGGGTTGAGGAGAAGCAACGCTGATCCTGCCTTTTTCTGTTTGGAACTCTCAAGTCCACTCCAGTTCTCCCCTTCGCTGACCTCGATGGACTCCGACGTGCTGACGTGCCCACGTTTTCGAGCCGATAGCGAACTGCCCTGATTGGCCCCCCTGATCTGCGATGGAACAATAGCTAATTGCTGCGATGACGCTTTGGCAAGACCACAGTTCCTTGAAGAGTGGATGATTATCGAAGTGTTGTCATCCACAACCGACATATGATCCCTGATAGGGGATAAAATACGGGAGCGCTTCTCTTCTAGCTGCACAGCTAAAGTATCTACAATTTGCGAGTCCTGACCTTGCTGCAGCGCTGAGCCTGTTCCGTCCGAGGAGTCAGTTAGGCTGAGCCGATCTGCCGCCCTGGCAGTGTGCAGAAAAGCCGAATAATGGCGGCCCCAGAATCTAAGCACCAGTGGTGGAGCGCGAGGCGCCTCTATTTTTGCCGCTTGCAGCTCGTCTATACACGCCAAGAGAGTGAGTGGAAATTCTTTGGCAGTTTCCACTACTCGACCGTGTCTGTTGATCGTAGCAGGACAAAACTTGCGACCACTCCAGTTACCCGTTCCGCGGCCACAGTTCAACACATAGATAGTGCGATGCAAAAAATTGGCTGCCATTCCAAGAGTGTCACTTCCACCCCAGCTATGCTCCTCAACCAGGGCTTCTCTGTTGGAAGGGGAGGCTGCATAGTCATGCAAAAACCACCGTAGTTGGGACGCAGACTCCCCCCTGGTCATCGTCGTCCAACCTCTGCCAACGTTCTTTAAAGCATGAACCCGTACGTCATGAGCCATTTGATCCTCCAAATTTAGTAGTCCGGCGTTGGAGATTCCCCGTTTAATACTAGCCGTTAAAATCTCAAGGTCCTTGGTCAGATTATGTTCTACATGACATCATCACGGCTTGGAACAGAACAGCACCCGCGATGCATCGGCTGCCTAGTGAGTGAGAAGGTGAGGTATATTTAGGTACGCGTACGACCTGCTATATCCTGTCATCCGGCAACAAAGTTACCTAATCGACCGCTACTTTATATACTAGGTAGCGCTAGTCCTCGCACAGCAGAGCGCCTTCGCGCAGACTCCTGTCTCGAGATAATCAGGTTCCTCGAGGTCAGCCCGGGGTCCTGTATGACGAGTTGATGGTCGGCTTGAGAGGTCTCCAACCAATGATTGACATCAGTGTCAAGGAAGTTTGAAGCCTCCGGGACCAGACCTGGGTTCGAGATAGCGTGCGTTTGTATAGAAGACCCCGTGTCCATAGCGATATTTGCCAGTCGGTCCGCCATTTTGTTGAAGGTGCGGTATTGATGTCCCCAGCTGGCGACATCAATATCGTTAGCGATGGCACGTGCTTCGTTGAATAAACGCACCAAGTGCGGCTTGCGTGGAGGGTGTTGTGTTCGGAGTTGAGAAAGTACAAGCGCACTGTCCCCAATGACGTGCAGGGGTGAGTAGTCGCCTGTCTTTGCTTGCCGAAGACCATGCACGAGCCCCCAATATTCAGCGACATTGGTAGTGGTATCGGCAGATGCATAAGCCATACTTGATACCCACAGAACGCATGCGGCGTGAGTCGGAACGTGTAGTCGTACAATCACAGACCCGGCTCCACCTGGACCTGGATTTCCGCGGGACCCGCCGTCAAAGGAGAGGAGGTAAAGCTCGCCAGGGAGCCGGTCGATAGGCCGGACTAGTAACGAAGGAGGTTCATCGTAGCAGAGTAGGGTATCAGCCAAGGCCGACCGTACCTGCGCAAACAGTTGCCCATCTTCCCCCATCTCGGGCTGATAGGTTGATCGCCGAAACCGTATGACCGACCGACGAAAGCTCGTCTTGGCGCTGGATATGTGCACCTCCTGTGATAACGACGAGTCTTCCATGCGGCGGAGGCGCTCGACCCAGATTGCATGAAGGGTCGTTGATACGACAAAACGCCACAGCTCTCTGGCTGCCGGAAATATAGCAGCCTGAGCTTTTGATAAATTAGTGCCTGGGTCCATGGATTGCTTAATTACATCCCAGGCGTAGGGTGGAATCGCCGGGAGGTCCAGGCCAAACACCCAAACATTCAATTCAGCCTCCTGGAAAGTTCCAAGCCATCGCCACCGATCAAGGAGAAACTCCCAGTGACGACGCGCACTAGAGCATGTCCAAAAGATATGGCTTGCCAGAGCTGGACCAGCAGTCGCACACTCAGGGACCGGGCAAGACAGATCTTGCTTCGCCCAATTCCAGATCGGAAAACTGTTACTCTTTAGCCTATACAGCGTCTGAGCGTTTGTCGGAAAGGACGCTCGTATTCGTCGAATGTCCCTCCAAGTAATCAATGTTGTACCTTCCGAGATCACGTGAAAGTCCGTCGTTGCCACACGTTCATTAAGAAGTCTATTCCCTACAGCACGGCGCCGCCGGGTGATAATCTGTTTCAGTTTACGTCGTTGCGGCCGCCACCTTCGTCGTCCAGCCCACATGTGGACAACGCGAGTAAGCGCCGGATGCGCTCCAAAGTGAACAGGAGACTTACTAGCTGTTGACGCGGCTATATCGCATGCCGCCATCGACGCGACCGGTTGCACTCCACATTCCATGCCCGTATCGAAATGTCTGAGCGACTTACCGTCACCAGTTAGAAGCCAGTCATGGAACTGGTGCACCTTTGTAGAGTATGCAATCACAGACCCAGGCTCCAGTGGTCGATATACCAGTGACGGGAAATTGTAAAGCAGCGCGAGGCAGAAGGACCCAAAATGCCGTCGCTTTGCCATAGACTGGGACGCCATGTCACGCGTAGGGAGAGAACAAGACCATGCCACTCTGCAGGGTCGTCCACGTCATTGTCTCGCCAAGGTAATTCAAGTTTCGCGCAAAGTCGGCCCCGTTCAAGCTGTATGCCTTACCCTGTCGATCTCTGAGCCACGACATATCCTTAAGCGTGGCGTATGCCAGCCACCGGTGGTCAAATCGCCCTGATGCTGCTACATCAGCTCGCATCCCAACGCACAATCTGTCATCAATAACCCGCCGAACATCAATTGTGACACTAACGTCTTCATTATAGGCGACTGCTGCTCTCGACGTAAACGACAAGGCTCGTCTACAGACCTCGCTGACCGCACCTTGGCGTGCATGTTGAGCCGAAGAAAGTCCAACAATTTCAGACCCGGTTAGCCAAAGCGTTGCGCGATACCGAGGGAGCTTGTCTTCCGTCCAAACCGAGGCCACATGACGTACAGCACGCTGTGCAGAAGTGCGAGAAAGCTGACCGAGTTCCGAAGCTTTTTCGGGGTTCATCTACATCAAGGCATCATGAACACTTATCGGTTGTACATACAGTTCAAAGTGCAGTGATCAGTCCATTGCTATTTGTTGTACGTCATTATTAAACTTTTATGCTGAAGAAAGTAAGAGATGCAGTGGTCCCTCCGAAACTGTTGGAAGTGGAGTTGTCATAGCGGACACTCTTTTCCGGGTTGACGCCCTAGCTGCCAGGTTTGGTCGGTATAGTGGGTGATTTGTGTGGTTATTCTAAGTTCTAGACGGTTCTAGTTTGGTTAGCGCAGGATCCAGAAAATCTCTTTCTGGATTGAATAAGTAACTGACGAAACGCGTCTGGCGTGCGTTTAAATTTAGAAGTGTTGTACCATGTTTTCTCTCTTTTGAACAGGAACGATATGTCCTTTGGTATGCTGTTAAGTTCGGCGTCTTTTGACCTCATAGTGTGACCACTACGTGAGGCGTCACAAGTTTAGACCAGAATGACTATATGACTTTGGACATTGCTCTTACAACGAGAGCACCACCACAATTGGTACATTACTACCTCTTCCTCTGCATATTAAACTTCTCCCAGAATCTGGTCTTCAATCATTTTTCTGGCTCGAAACACTCATAGGTTTTCGATGGGAGTAAGAAGCCCCAACATTGACAAAAAGGATCCAAATACGCACTTTTAGAATTATGGCACCTAGCGACTGCTTCCATCTTACTCTACGCCTCCCCATTCTCCATCGAAATATCCTTGTGTCTCTTCATCTCCGTTGCAGTTTCACGACAGGAGACTCAGTACTATTTCCTTGTTATTGAAGCAATTTGTAAAGTAGGTCGCCAAGATCTCGGTCCAGCAGCTACTGATCATCGCAAGACAGCAAGTCAGCCAAGTCCGTACATTTTGCCGGCCTCTTTCAGCCCTTCACAATCGATCGCGTCAACAGGCAGTGCCGCTTAAACGCCAGAAAGACACCAGCGTTATCGGTCCAATCTTTACCGTCGTTTTAGTGCAAGCAGCTAAACTTCGACGTGGGCAAGCGTCGACCATCCGCGACGTGAGGTTGAGAAATATCAAGCTTGAAAGAAGACAGTGTCAAAACACTGCGTGGCTACAGCTTTCATCGTATCCATACCACAAAAATCGGGTAAGAATGTATCCACCTAAGTTAGATTTCTTGTCCTGTTCTACCTGTAGTTGAATCAAAGGAGTGAAGTTGTTCCTTTGTTTGCTGCAGCCGTTTTTATGATAAGTTGCATCGAATCAACGTTTAGCTTTCTACCACACTCCTCAAATTGATGCGTTCTCTGATAAGTCATCAAATTCTCCGACCATCGATATCATCGCTTGTCGGAGGAGGTCGTAGATCCGCTTCTGACAAACAAAGGATATTAGGTAGTTCTGATAAAATCAAGCATGCGTGCTTTCTGGAATAGAGATGTTCACCATCCATGCTTCGAGGTCCAGCTACAAATCTTCCTTTCTTTACTCGTATCAGACGACGTCATTCCCGCCAAAGCTGAGACTGTTAAAACGCCGGGACCAGGAGGCACGATTGTGCCTTTTACTGTTCGCTTTTCATGGGCGCGAGGCTTCCTACCAACCGTTTTGGTAGTCAGCCGGTTCCCAGCTCGTTCCAGATTGCGTCGTACCACGATCAAAAAATGTCGGCGTTCAAATAATAGCGGGAAAATGCTTTGACAAGACCGTGTTTAGCCCTGGCTGCGTCGCCGACAAGCACTGCCACATTCATTCTTCGTTGTAGAAGCGCGATTTTTGCTACACTTGTCGGCTTGCGTCACGATGTCTGCTTGTAGGAGAGGACTTGTATGCAATGTTGACCGTTTATTGTCTATCGTTCGGCGTGTTTCAGTTCGTTCAGGCAAACTTTGTCTACAAAGAAATCACACGTCTATTTCATGAGATTCTTCGTGTACAAGATCTCTGAAATGTCCCGAGCCAGGATGTTTGCGCCGGCGGGCCCGGGCACATATCCTGGCAAGCAATGCAGAAACCCGGCTATCTTATAAGGTTGCGTATTAGATACTTATCTATGCGTACAGCACGGCGCTGTCTGTGGCTGGCACTGATGTTCGATGCTTACTCTTTGAGGTTGCTTGGAGTTGACATTTTTTATTAGTTACACATTGTTTGATGTAAATACAAGCAATGCAATCGGCGGTACCGTTCGAGACTCTATCTGCGGTCACATTTGGTCATCAAATTCGAGTGGCAATCCGGCACCAGGACTACCACCATATTTGGAGTGCACTCGCAGCCAGGAAAACTCCGTCGTCTACTGGTGGTTGCAGAGGGACTTATGTGTGTCAGTACCTCGGTATACTCGTCGATTGTACCTTTTGGCAAATGTCTGTCTCTGTTCTTGCACCAGGATGCCCATGCGACAAGCTTTTTGGTCGTCTAGAAATAGTTGAGTCGTGACCTATGTGTACAGAATTCTTCTACTCGGCTTGGTCAACCACAGATCTCCTACATCATTATCACCGCACGTTAGGCAGCCGATGCATCAGGGGAAAGGACCGCGGGTCGGGTCCTCTCCTATCGCGGGAGCTTTTTCCTGTGACGTTGTGGCTCGATCTCGAAATCTCGGGTCGGCGTATGAGCCTCACTTGTTGGTGTCTGCGGGCTCGGGACCGGTGAGAGCTGCAACAGAGCAGGGAAGGGCCGACACGGTAGACGGGCAGGGTCCGGGACTTTTCGCTGACTCCAAAGAGGATGGGAGTCAGCGCTCATCTGCTAACCACACCCGGGTGCTGGTGCGGGCGGCTACGAGAGTGTGGACCGACAGATCAGACGATGATCTCCGTTCGATGATTCCGCTTGAAGAAGAAGCTCTAGCGGCATGGATGATGGGGGCTATCATGCTCCAGTCTTCGCCTGGATTTTTGGTGTGCACGCACCCGAGGGTTACGCGAGTTGTAATGCTTGATTTTTTCGAAGAGTACCTGGAAGGGAAGGTCATTGCGATTGTCCCTCCGTACGTGCGCATGCCTCAGTACATCGCCGAGAAAACTTTGCTACTCCAGCTCTTGGAACGCAGTGAGGGGCAGACGGAGTCCGATGTCATGAGTCGGGAATTGGTCAAGGGCGCCAAGCGGACCAGTTACGATGCCGAAACGAGGCGACTGACTTTCATTATGCCGGATCAAGCGGCAGCAGCAAGATGGCATGCAAACATGATTTTGGTTCGCGGAAAGCGTCTTAAGCTGTTGTGCCCGGCCACTATGGAGCGCGAAGACATTATGTAACGGGGTGAATCGTTACATAACAATTTATAAGAAATTGTTAATAGAATATAACTATAAGAGTTATATTCTCAGAATATTGTCATAAGGACAAATATTCTGTAGCACTTACAAGTAGTTCCTAATTGGTTGATATAGGCCATTATATCAACCAACGAAGACGCGCCACGACAGACGCACGCAATGAGTGGTGAGCAGATAACTGATTTACACATTTGTATTCAGACATAGTTAGATGAAGATAAATAGTGATTTATTAACAGACATTAACTATTATAAATACAGTTCTACTTTTTACTCTAACCGAGTACTCGCTTCTTCTTACCGTCTTCCTCTGCACGTACGAGTGTACGTGAAGTTACGAGGCACCGCCTTATTCTGTCATCAGAATAAGTAGCTTGTACTGTCACCAGTACAAGCTTCAGGGTGCACCGTTACACCTGGTAGCACTTCGTAGTCCGTCCAAGGACCGCGTTCACATCCAACATGAATATGTTGGATGATGAAGATGACCAAAGCTTTCACGCTACGCGTGACGGCTACTCCCATTTGAGCGATGTCGAATGGGATGCGGTTGAACGAATGGGTTCGACCATGGGCATCCATGCTGTTAGCGTCATGCTAGAGGCTCTCAATAGAGATGCCCAACATGCTACTATCGCCAAGTTCATTCAAAATGAACTTGACGCAGAACGCGAGAAAGTAGCCTTGCTTCACCAACAAGGTTCTCAACAAGCAGAGTTGTTGAGAGAACAAGGTGCTCAACAGTTTGAACTGTTGAGACAGCAGCAGGCTGCTGCTGGCGGGTCGATGCACTCGCGTCGGCCCGAGACTTTGAAGATTGACATCTCAAAGTATAGGGGGTCGAAGAAGACTCCCTCTTGAGATGGTTCGTCGAATTGGATGACGCCATAAGGGCGCGTCGCATCGACGACGGGGATATGCAAGTTGCATTTGCCCAGTCAAATCTGGCAGGACGTGCCAAGACTTGGGCACTGGGGCTCAAGCTGCACGACCCATATGCGTTTGGGTCGTTGGAAGTCTTCAAGTCGCGGCTCAGACAAACGTTTGAACCGCCTAGAGCTGAGTTCAGAGCTCGAACCGAACTCTTGAAGCTCAAGCAGGGTAAGCGTGATGTGCACGCTTACGCTCAACATATACGACATCTCACGAGTTGTATAAGTTCCAATCCGGTGGATGAACACACGTTGGTTTCGGTGTTCATGCAGGGTCTTGCGGATGGTCCCGTCAAGACTCACCTGTTCCGGCTTGAACTAGATTCACTAGAACAAGCCATTTCAATTGCGGAGCAGGAAGACTTCAGTCTGAGACAGGCTCGCGCCAGCTCGACATCATATCGTCAACCGAGACGATATGACAACGGAGGTCCAGAGCCGATGGAACTCTGTTATGTAGAGAGCGAGAAGGCTCGCTCTACAGGCTACAAGAAGTTGCAGAGATGCAACAGATGTCAAAAGACAGGACACTACGCTTACGAGTGTAGTGCCCCTCGTCCAGTGTCTCGCGACACTGGGCGTAGTGACCGTCCACCCATGAGAAAGGGGCAGGGACGAGGGTCCGCAGTTGGTGCAAAGACGCAACAACGGGATGGACCGTAAAAAAACGGACAGGATCAGTAGGTGCGGAGCACCCTACTGGTCTAGCAACGTCAAGAGAATTTGTAGGCCTCTTGATGAAGGTTGCTCCCAACACACAAACGTTGTGCGTTGCTGCTCTAGGTAATGAGGTCTCACTCATTACCTTGAAACTCGAAGTGACGAATAAGTTGTCCCTTCGAGCTCTAGTCGATTGTGGGGCGTCCAACAATTTTGTGCGACGCCAATCGCTAGAAGATGGCCACTTCAATTTCAGTGAATGTGACACACCTCCTACGAGGATGACGGTACGTCTTGCGACAGGCGCATCCGTAACCGTCATGAAGCGTATAGTGAAGATCCACTATACGCTAGAAGATACCCAATATGACGATGACTTTATCGTATTGGATTTGGATGACAAATTTGATGTCATCCTTGGAATACCGTGGCTCAGAAGGTACGAACCACGGGTAAACTGGCAACATCGAATAGTAACGATGCCTGCCGCTTGTTCATCAGATGGCCATCTGATGAACGTTTTGGAGCGTCCACAAGCGTCTGGATGTACTACGAGTGAGTGCGATGGCCTCACTTGTGGTACGGTCGTTAGTACGACTGCACAAAACCTTAGTGTACCAAACGGTTACACTTCGGAGCAAAGTTCCGGCGGCTGTGAGGAAACACAGGCTGCGCCGAAGGTCCACCACTCGAATAAGTCGGGTGGACTGGGACAAAGATGTATCCCTAGCGGGGAACATCTAGAAGAGAAACAATCGATCGCTCAGGTTAAGCGAAACGATAATCCTAGATCGACTGGAGAGTCTTTCGTAGAGGATCTCGCTGTGGTTGCGCAACCCCAGCTAGAGGAAGTAAAGGGAATAAGTCCCAAGATCACAAATACGGCGGAAATAAGTTCCCCGAAACCCGCGGGAATAAGTCCCCGGGAAGACGAAGGAATAAGTCCTTCGAAGCCTGAGGGAATAAGTCCCCAGGAAATGACAGAGACATTGAATGTCATAGTCAATGATGGATCAAGTGTAGGCGCTTATGCACTTGATCTGATTGCGAGTCCGGACTTGACTTCGGAGATCACTCAGTTGCCAACGCTCGAACATAAAAGGTTCTTGCGTGATCTGCGTAGTGGCAAAGTCAAGCAGATCTGCATACTCGTCGCTGACGACGAGTGTGTAACCGACATAAGGTCAGCAACAGTGTTCACTGAGAACGAGAGAGTTCTCAGTAGTTCATCTATGGACGAGAGTGTCCTAGATGAAAAGACACGAATTGAGCGATATGAGTCCCAATCATGGGAATCGCTCAAGACAAATCCTCGCTATGAAGATTTGGTTGAATTCAAGGATGTATTCCCTGAAACTGTTCCGTGTGAATTACTGAAGGATAAAGGTATTCGACACGAGGTCGAGCTTAAACCAGGCTCGAAGTACTGTGTCATGAAGTAGTGTCCACTGCCTCGTGAACAAGTACTTGCGATCGACAAGCTCTTTGCCGATCGTTTAGCTGCGGTCCACTTGAGGGAATCAAATTCCCCACGTAGCTCTCCAACCTTCTGTGTGCAAAAGGCAACAGGAGGGTGGCGGATTGTGCATGCATTTAACAAGTTGAATGCTGCAACGGTACCGGCTCAGACGCCGATACCAAGGAAGGACGTAATCATTGATGGTATGTCAAAGAGTACCATCTTTTCGTCCATGGATTTGATGGATGGCTTCTATCAAATCCTTATGCGAGAACGGGATATACCCTATACCGCAGTTAGCACGCCTAGCGGCATGCTCTGTGAATGGCTAGTAATGTCACAAGGGCTTAGTAATGCCCCTGCCACATTCAACAGATGTGTATCACATCTGTTGAGACCAGTACGAGAATTCGCGCCGAATTATTTCGATGACGTATTCATCCATAGTCGAGCTGTGGATGGAAAGTCGGACGTTGAGGTTCACAGGTACCACGTCCGACAAGTTCTTACAGTCATGCGAAAGCATCAATTGTATGCAAACCTCAAGAAGTGTATATTTGCAGCAAGCGAAATACCACTTCTTGGGTGCATCGTTGGTAAGAACGGTGTACGTCCTGATCCCGAAAAGATCAAGGCGATCACCGACTGGCCTGTGCCGGTTGACGTCAAAGGTCTTCAAAAATTCCTTGGGCTAGCGGCGTATTTGCATAAGTATTCACGCAATTACGCCGAGATGACTGTGCACCTCTCTCGTTTGTTGAAAAAGAACGAGAGGTGGTTATGGAACGCTGAATGTCAACGCTCCTTTGAGGGTATCAAGCAGAGCTTGATACAATCCCCACTCCTAGCAATAGCCGATCAGGACAGGCCATTTCATGTGGTCTGCCATGCCAGCGATTTCGCAATCGGCTGTGCATTAATGCAGTACGATCTTGAAGACATTGAACGCGTCGTCTGCTATCAGTCGCGTCAGCTGCAACCAGCTGATCGGAACTATCCAGTGCATGACAAGGAACTCCTTGCCATGAAGTATGCACTCGCGAAGTTCAGAGTCTATCTATTAGGAGATAGACCCTTCATTGTTTACACTGACCATGCGTCATTACGCACGGCAGTGAACAGCCCGCACCTTTCACAAAGAATGGCGCGGTGGTTGTCATTCTTTGCGGAATACAACTTTACGGTCGAGTACAAACCAGGACGACTTAATGTCGTCGCTGATGCACTCTCACGTCGTCCCGACTTTGAAACAGTCGCGAAACCCAACAGTGAGACAGTCACTGTTGCGGTTATGACGTCCTCAGTTCCATCTACAACGTTGTATGATGATGTGAGGCGGGCATACGCCCAAGATGGTGAGATAGTGAAGTTGTTGTCACATCTCTCCCAACCATCTCGAGAATCGTTGAAACGATTGTCGTCTGCGTATCGATCTGCATCAGATTGATACACTACTCGTAACGGTTTACTGTATTATACAGCCGTTTCTGGTGACACACCACGTGTTGTCATTCCAAATGATACTGATCTGCGTTTGCGGATCATGTTCGAGTATCACGATGCTCCTATAGGAGGACATCGTGGCCGAGAGAAACATATCTCACGGTAAGTCGAGACTTTTACTGGCCCCGCCAGTATCAGTTTGTGCGAAAGTATGTTCGCGCATGCGAAGTCTGTCAACGAGTGAAGTCAAGTCCTTCACTGCGTGCACCTTTACAGCCTCTACCGGTTCCGGCTGAGTGCTGGGAATCCATCTCAATGGATTTCGTCTTCGGGTTACCCAAAGACGCACGCGGGAATACGGGTATTCTCGTATTTGTTGACAGATTCAGCAAAATGGTACACCTTGTGGCTGTACCAGAGACAATCACGGCAAGTGGCTGTGCTTGTGTCTTTATTGACACCATCTTCCGACTTCATGGGTTGCCCCGTGAACTCGTATCAGACAGAGATCCACGATTCACTGCTGATTTCTGGCGTTCCGTGTTCAAATCACTCGGAACGCGCTTGAAGATGTCAACATCTGATCATCCAGAGTCAGATGGTCAGACGGAACGTGCCAATCGTGTCCTTGAAGAGATACTTCGAGGATACGTACACTCCTTTAAGAGTTGGAGTGAGTTTTTGCCGATGGTAGAGTTTGCCATCAACAACTCGGTGCATGCGTCCACGACACATACACCGTTTTACGTGAATGGCTTGCGCCATCCGCGTGTACCCACCTTACTAGAGTGTAACTCTGGTTTAAGGGGGGGAGGGACTCGCGCGAGCAAAAACCGATTTGGTTCACGCTCATCACGCTCTGACGAAGAAGTCATTGCGTTTGATGCCGATATCGATAACATCAATATCGAAGAAGATGATGCCAGTGAGAGTGCGGAAGCCCTCACTGAAGACAATGATCCCAGTGAGAGTGCGGAAGCCCTCACTGAAGAAAAGGTTGTTGTCGCTGCAGTGCGCTCACAGCACACTGAAGCTAACGAGTCATCAGATGAGTTCATACTGGCTCGTGAAACGGTAGTCCGTTTTGTGCAAGACTCCATCGCCGAAGCGGTGGATAAGCAAAAGCAAAACGCTGACAAGAATGGAAGGGCAAACACTCTTTTATTTAATAAAGGTGACTTAGTCCTACTGTCTACGGTTAATCTACCAAAACATGTAGTGACTAACTTGGGTAGCAGTAAACTACTACCCAAGTACATTGGCCCATTTCGTGTATTGCACCGCCTAGGCAATGCATACACGATCGAGTTACCACGTAAGATGCGAACGCATCCCACGTTTTACGTTGGTCGGCTTAAGCCGTACCATCAGTACGCTGCTTCTTCCGATGAAGAACGCCCTTGCGCTCAAGCATCTCGCAGAGAGCCTTGTGCTCCCGATGGTGGGCATCAACAAGGGTCTAAAGAGCAGCTATCTCATCCCGAGACCGATCAACAATCCCAAGAGCTACCCTTAGCTCGTCACGAAGAGGTGTCAGAGCTCTCTCGTTCTCAAGCTGAGCAAAGGCAAACTCAGCTCGATGCTTCAAGGCAGTGTCCGCCATTTGGAGACGCCTGTCCCGCTCATGCTCGAGATCGTCGCGTAACCCTTGCGTTACGCGATCAAAGAAGCTCTCAGGAACACACCGATCCACATGATCGTGTGGAGAGCGTCTTTCCTCCTCCTCCACCTCCATTAGAGGACTCTCGCGGTGGCCAGCGCTATCTAGTTGAGCAGCTGTTGAACCACCGCGACGTGAACGGACGTCGGACGAGTTATCTCGTCCGGTGGCGCGGCTATCCCCCGTCCTGGGATTCTTGGGAGCCCCGCTCCCAACTGATGATCGACGTACTGGGTCTGGTTGAGCAGTACGACGCGGCACATCCTGTGCCGCAGAAGGACCGCCGGAGAAAGTCTTCCCGGCACGGTCGTAAAGGGATTTCAGGTTGTCAATCCCTTCGTACATCTCAGTAGAGACACGTACGCGCCACCACGGGCTGGTAAGGAGGTAAGCCTCCTTAGGTGCTCGCGCAGAGTTGTTCACACAACATGGGCACCAGTCTCCCCAAGAGAGGCAGGGTAATCCTTTCTCCCTTGACAGACGATGCAGCTTGTAGCGTGCACCTGTCGGGGTTCGCTTTTCAAACTTATCACGAGCTTTGATAAGTTTGTCGTTCCAAGCGTCACGACCTACATCCTCGAGGTTATGGATGTAGGCGTTCCACGCTTGAAGTAGTGAGGGACCATCACGCTTGTGGTTCCCACTGTACCATCGATGTCTGAAGAAAGCATCGATGAAGAATTCGTGTTCAGCGCGATAGTTTTTCGCGCTGGGGTCAAGGTGATGGATCCTTGACGAATCGAACAATCGTGTTCGATAACGATCACTCGTCGTCGCCGACAAGTGATCCATGACGGATTTAGGAGGCATCCATGCCTTCTTCTCAGGAGCGAGACGCAACACTTTGCGGTCCCGCTCTTCCTGCGACGTGCCGACAGAAGTACTGGCACCTCGTTGCGAAGTGGTGTCCATAGGAGAACCGACACCACTATTAGCGCCCGAGTCTCGCGACCTCGAGCGCCTTCGCTTTGGCGATGGTTCATCTGATTCGTCAGACGAACCACAGATGCTGCGACGCAAAGCATCGTCCATGCCACGCTTGGCAGGCGGCTTAGATTCAATCGCCTTTGATACGGATCCGTCATCCGTATCAGGAGAGTACGAGACACCGAGCTCGTACTCTGTGAAGACACGAGTGTCTTCATGACCAGCGCGTGCATCGCCAAGTGACACAGGCTGGGTCGCTTCAGCAACCGATGAGACATCAGTTGCTGTTGTTTTTTCTGCTTCGGCGTCCGCACAGAGACGTGCGGACGCGCTCTCGGCGGCCTTGCTCGCGCATCGCATGGGCTTGTTAACCATGCGATGAAATGTTGGAAAGTGGACGCGGACCAACAAGTGCAAACCCTGTCCCAAATGATTTGGGACGAGTATCCATTCAGTTAATCAGTCACTAAAGTGACTGATGGTTAAGGGGGGTGATGTAACGGGGTGAATCGTTACATAACAATTTATAAGAAATTGTTAATAGAATATAACTATAAGAGTTATATTCTCAGAATATTGTCATAAGGACAATATTCTGTAGCACTTACAAGTAGTTCCTAATTGGTTGATATAGGCCATTATATCAACCAACGAAGACGCGCCACGACAGACGCACGCAATGAGTGGTGAGCAGATAACTGATTTACACATTTGTATTTAGACATAGTTAGATGAAGATAAATAGTGATTTATTAACAGACATTAACTATTATAAATACAGTTCTACTTTTACTCTAACCGAGTACTCGCTTCTTCTTACCGTCTTCCTCTGCACGTACGAGTGTACGTGAAGTTACGAGGCACCGCCTTATTCTGTCATCAAAATAAGTAGCTTGTACTGTCACCAGTACAAGCTTCAGGGTGCCCCGTTACACATTACTGCTCCTTCGCTATTAGCCACGTCAAGCGGTAGACTACAATTGCAATACCAAGTCCGGATTTTGGTCAATGGAGTGGCGGCAAGCACGGTTCAAGCTATATTGGCGTCTAGTGTGGCTTGTACGGTCACATCCGTGTCTCGTGGGTGCCCACTCGGCTCGGAGGCATATGATTTCAACTTTTTCGTGGCAACTTTTGACATGGTGTCATGTCCCGAGCAACTCAAGCTGGTCACGCACATCGTAACATCCGAAACGGAGATCTTTCTCCGCCATTTTCGCCACTTTCAACGCGTTCCCTGTTTTTCCTGCTATTCGCCATATCACTCGAGTGCTAAGTGTGGTGGACGCAAAGGCGCTTTTCAAATTCAGCATCACTGAGAATTTACTGGTATTCCAATAGCTCCTCCTCACGTCAGTGGGTTGACTTTTAACCACTTGGACGTTGCCGGTCGCCTGCAGCATGTCTCTGGACTGGCGGATACTTTGGTGGCAACCACGGCGAAATTAAAGGCTGATGGCAACAAGGCCCCACTGTTAAGCGAGGTCTCGCAGGTACCTCCTTGTGCTGGGCAGTCGTCAGTTCCGAACACGTCTCCGCTTGCCGGTGGACAGGCCGTTCGGGGCGGGGCTACTCGCGTCAGTGGTCCAATGACGAACGAGTGGTTCGATCCTGGAGCGAACAAGAAAAAGAGGGATGTGCGCCCCGCAGATGTTCCGGCTAGTCGGGCAACAGGACCTGCTGTGAAGCTACCCAAGCATCCGCAGTTCAACAAAGATGGAGGTGCAAGAAAGTCACCACTCTCGAAGTCGAAGGCTGTTGCCCAAACAATTTCCACGAACACGGTCGCTGACAAAAAGAAACCACCTCAACAGACTAAGGCAACTGTTCGTCAAAAAGGGCAATCGACCACGGTCCATTCTTCGCCACCACCCTCCGCTTCTTCGAAGGCGGACACCCAGCGCACGCTGGCGATTCGGGAACTGGACCACATATTGAGTGGTGCTCATGAGGAAGTTGCAGAACCTGCACCGATTGATCCGGGGGTCAATTCGGCGCTGCCTTCGACGAATTTAAAAGAGGCGACCCTTGAGGCCGCTCGATCGCAAGTAGCAACCGCACAAAAAACGGTCGAGGAACTTAATTTAGCAGCCGAAGAGAAGCAGCGCGCGGCAGACACCACGAAATCATGCTTTGCGGCTCACGCTCAGGCACTCGAAGTGGCTATTGCTACTGAGAAAACGAGTAATAGAGAACCTACTTCTCCTGAAGAAGTCAGTGAGGAATTGCTGAGGATGGAGTACGAATACCGCACCGCAGGTGCGACGGCGAACCGAGCGAATGCGGATGCAACGATAGCAGCGAAAACCCTCGAAACACTGACACGTCGGTTGGCAAAGATTACACCGAAACCGAAGCCTGTGACCGAAGATATGGCCCCGCAAGATGATACACCACCTCGCGAGATGCCTACGGAGATGGCAGCAAGAAGTAGAGAGCGGAGTCGGTCCATGATACAACGCTTGTTGGCTTCGTATGTGCGCCGCAAACGGGGTGTACCAAGTGAGCCGATCGATAAACCTCTTGGTACGGTACCTACCGCGAAGGCGCCTCGTGATCCGGGTCCACCGGATCTACCGCCGATGTGCCCCCAGAATCGGACGGGCAGCGTCCCCAAGATCTCGATGTTACTATGGCGGAGAGCACGGTTACGTTCGGGAACACTATGTGCTTGAATGATTTAAATGGAGGGGCAGTTACTCCGCCTCCCTGTGCCGCTAGTGTACCTATTCCAGCTGATCTAGCCAAGGCAATTGAGGAAGAGCTTAAGGCCTCGTCTGGAGTTATCGACGTTTCCGACACGGGTGCCTCTAGTTTATTAACACGTCCTACCGCTAGCATGGGTGGTCTCTGTACGCAGGTAGCGGTCCGGTCCCCGATGGAACAATGTCGCGCTCCCGATCCTCACGATCAGACTTTACGTGCAACAAGGATTCGCAAAATTCCAGATAGCGCATCTGCTGCGGTGGCGGCTGCTGCAGTGCCGGAGAGCATGAAACAAATTTCATTGAACACAGCGGCGATTCGCAAATGGGTTAGCCTGCACAAAGCGATGGCTGCACTACCGACTACAATGCCAGTCGGACCTAAGGGACAAATGGCCTGGATAAACGCGTGCTCCTTGGACTTGGCGGGACTCGTCTGTGGACTACCTTATCCTGTTGCTTACCTTGCCTCGATGTCGGGTGAAACCCTACGGTCTTTTGGACATTCCATCAACAGTGAATCTCAACTGGCTGTAATTCGGCGACACACCACACACGCAGATGAAGAACTTCGCGAGCTGTGCAAGGGTTGGGCCGCCACGGCAGACGCGCAAACCGGTCATATTTGATGGAGAACGACGGACAATATACAACGCTGGAGACGCTTTAGTAAGCTACAGCCCGATTTGCTGTGCGCGACTGTCGTCGAACCGCTTTCTGACTTGGATCAGTGGGGGAGTCCTCAATGTTCTGTGTTTATTGCTCCCGAAGCTCGCACCTATTGAGGTTAAGACGAACGTGGTAATGCCGCAAACCAAGGCTGTACTATATCACCTCTCCAAAGAGGTGCGCGCGGCGGTGATTAGCATTATATGCAAACCTGCCAACTGGCAGCCGGCCCTTGACCTTATCGCTAAAGATGGTCAACTGCTGGACTCTAGGTGCTGAGGGCGTCTCGGCTGATCTAGAGGATGCATCGTCGCGGCACATGCCACAACGTCGTCAAAGACGCCTTTTTAATACCTCATGTATTCCACGCGACAACAGCATAGGTATCCATTCGCAGAATGTTGCAGGATTTCCCAAGAATCCGGAACATTGCGCAACTTGGTTCAGCCACTTCCGACAGAGCGAAGCCAGGGGAATCATCGATTTGGTCCTTTTACAGGAAACGCGGGTCACTTTAGGTGAGGCAGCGCCTCTGGACAAGCTTTACAACTCCTCCTGGGGATTCGTGCACAAACTCGGACGCTCGTTGTGGACCGAGTCCGAGTTCTCTCGTGGAGGTGTGGCTATTTTATTAAACCCATACTCAACAATTACGGAAATGGTTCCGTGGTATGAGGATCAATGGACACAGCATTGGATGACTGTCCGGGTCTGTCTAATGGGCGAAACAGTTCTTGTTGTAAACGTTTACGCCCCAAGTACCAAGACTGAAAGAGAGGCGCTGTTCTCGAGCCTTCTACTTATTCTTTAGGGATACGAAGGACCCATGTTTGTTGGAGGGGACTTCAACTGTACTTTGGAGCCGCGACTTGACCGTTCTTTTGTCTCGCCGCCAGGAAGACATGATTCCTTGGTGCTACGGCGGCTTCTCGGCCGAGTGCAGCTTAGCGATGTTCTTGATGGTGATCTGGAGATGGCCGAAGAAGAAAGAGATGTACCGGCGTTTCATGCGGCCTCTCACACTTATTTCCACACTCTTCCGGGCGGTGGATTGGCTAGTTCCCGACTGGATCGGTGGTATGTGAGCTCTCGCCATGCTGATTGGATTCGTGGCGTTGCTTTGTCAGTTCCTGGTCCAGCAGCTGACCACAATGGCATCAGTATCAGGATTGGAGTGCCGCGTTATGTGGTCCGTGTACGTAAGCCGAGGCACGTGTACCCTGTTCCAGGTTGTGCAAACACAGCCGCGCATAAAGCAATTGTTGTGGCCATTAAGCTGGCACAGCTTAAAGCGGACGAGACTCTTTCTGTTCCGCCGTCGGACTATATCACGGCCCGTAGATTGGCCGACTGGTGGGATGAATGGAAGATCAGGCTTCGCAAAGTTCTTTTGGCAACGACCAAGACCGCGCGTCAAGGTATGACAACAAGCTATCGGCAGCGGCTACGTCGGCTCTATGTAAGACTGGACGCAGCTCTATTGGTGGCGCGTACACTTGATAACTCACCACCAGGAGCTCATAAGGACTGCAACAAGCCTAGCACCACCGATACTCCGGTTGGACTGCGGCGTAATGTTGCGGAGTGTCGACGCTTATGGCAGAGATCCAAAAAAAGAGCGCCTTCTTGTTCAACACACGTATACTCCTGGAGAAACATCTCGACGTTTTTTTCGCCCGGGTGGCGACTAAATTTCAAGACAACACCATTGTTTCTTTGGGCGGAAAGGCTGCATACGGGCCAAATCATTCTCAAGAGCTGGCTGATGAAATGGCGGATGGCTAGGAGCGTATTATGACTCATTCCTTTGCCTGTCCCGACGCTACCGCCACTTTTCTTTCCCGGGCAGTCCCGCCAGGACCAGTTGATGACACTACTGTGATGTCGGCCGTTTCCCCCGATGACGTGAGTGCGGCTTTAAAGAGGCTGAAACGTGGGAAAGCCGCGGGACCGGACGAAATTAACAACACATTTTACAGAGATTACGCGGAAGCGCTCAGTCCAGTACTCGCTACATTCTACACCAGATGGCTTACGTGCAGCGTGTTCCCGTCTTCCTTCGGTGAATCGAACATTCAGTGTTTGAAGAAATCTGCGTCCTCCGCCTTGCCGCTCGATCATCGCCCGATTGCTCTCCTCAACAGCGACTACAAGTTATTTACCAAGATTCTTTCGTTTCGGGTACGGCCATTATTGTCGCATCTCGTTTTGCCGGCTCAAGTTGGTTTTGTTCCAAAGAGGTCGATCCATACAGCTCTTGACATTTTCGCGACGGTACGCAAAGCTGCGACTTTGGACAGCAGCCTACATGGAGCCATTGTGCTACTTCTCGATTTTGCCAAGGCTTACGACACGTTGCAACGTCCATATCTGCTTTCCGCTCTGACATGGCTTGGGTTTTCGCCTCATTTCGTATCAGTCGTGGCAGCATTACACCACGACACTACCTGCCGATTTCTTGTGAATGGATACCGCTCTCGTCGACGTGACGTTACTTGTGGAATACGGCAAGGATGTCCCCTTGCGCCACTTCTATTTATTTTAGCCCCGATAGTGTCTATCGGGTCCTACAAGCGAGGGAGGACATTCGGGGGGGTGCCTATCTCCATTGGAGGGCGGGCTACAGAGTTCAAAGTATCGGGATACGCTGACGATACTGCTGTCTACCTTCGCGATCGGTCCTCGGTTACGCCTGTTGTAGCTATTCTAGAGGAATTTGCTCATGTGTCGGGTCTCCGGACGAATCGGTCGAAATCAATGATCATTGAGCTGGACCCTCGCGGATCAGAGCAGCCTTTTAGCACCTGTGGTCTCACTCTGCAGGCCCCTAGTGACTCTTGCAGGTATCTTGGTGTATTGGTGGGACAACAGGACGCGGTGGTCGATAACTGGAATAAGTGCATACGTTCTATATGGAGCCGACTTGTCTTAGCCCGCGAGAAGACGCACACAGTGGAACAACGTGCTCTGCTAGCAAGTGCTATCGCGGTGCCCAAAATTAACTTCTTAGCACGGTACTGTTGGCCTCCTCCCGCAGTGGTTACCCGGTTGCACAGCTTAATAATGGACTTTGTATGGGGTGTCCGAGATAGAAAGCGATTCAGACCCTGGGTATCTTCCGAGATAGCGGCCTTACCTATCCAGCAGGGAGGACTAGCGGTTCCCTGTATTCGGACGGAATTGATGACGATGGCGGCAACAGCAGTTGGACAGTGGACTGCTACTGTCTCTTCGAGAGACTTACTAATTGGTGACTTCTTATGGGGATCTACCGGGTCGGGTACGGCTTACATTACGCCTTGTTGGACGGAAGACAAGCTCCCTCGGTATCGCGCAACGCTTTGGCTAACCGGTTCTGAAATTGTTGGACTTTCTTCGGCTCAACATGCACGCCAAGGTGCGGTCAGCGAGGTCTGTAGACGAGCCTTGTCGTTTACGTCGAGAGCAGCAGTCGCCTATAATGAAGACGGTAGTGTCACAATTGATGTTCGGCGGGTTATTGATGACAGATTGTGCGTTGGGATGCGAGCTGATGTAGCAGCATCAGGGCGATTTGACCACCGGTGGCTGGCATACGCCACGCTTAAGGATATGTCGTGGCTCAGAGATCGACAGGGTAAGGCATACAGCTTGAACGGGGCCGACTTTGCGCGAAACTTGAATTACCTTGGCGAGACAATGACGTGGACGACCCTGCAGAGTGGCATGGTCTTGTTCTCTCCTACGCGTGACATGGCGTCCCAGTCTATGGCAAAGCGACGGCATTTTGGGTCCTTCTGCCTCGCGCTGCTTTACAATTTCCCGTCACTGGTATATCGACCACTGGAGCCTGGGTCTGTGATTGCATACTCTACAAAGGTGCACCAGTTCCATGACTGGCTTCTAACTGGTGACGGTAAGTCGCTCAGACATTTCGATACGGGCATGAAATGTGGAGTGCAACCGGTCGCGTCGATGGCGGCATGCGATATAGCCGCGTCAACAGCTAGTAAGTCTCCTGTTCACTTTGGAGCGCATCCGGCGCTTACTCGCGTTGTCCACATGTGGGCTGGACGACGAAGGTGGCGGCCGCAACGACGTAAACTGAAACAGATTATCACCCGGCGGCGCCGTGCTGTAGGGAATAGACTTCTTAATGAACGTGTGGCAACGACGGACTTTCACGTGATCTCGGAAGGTACAACATTGATTACTTGGAGGGACATTCGACGAATACGAGCGTCCTTTCCGACAAACGCTCAGACGCTGTATAGGCTAAAGAGTAACAGTTTTCCGCTCTGGAATTGGGCGAAGCAAGATCTGTCTTGCCCGGTCCCTGAGTGTGCGACTGCTGGTCCAGCTCTGGCAAGCCATATCTTTTGGACATGCTCTAGTGCGCGTCGTCACTGGGAGTTTCTCCTTGATCGGTGGCGATGGCTTGGAACTTTCCAGGAGGCTGAATTGAATGTTTGGGTGTTTGGCCTGGACCTCCCGGCGATTCCACCCTACGCCTGGGATGTAATTAAGCAATCCATGGACCCAGGCACTAATTTATCAAAAGCTCAGGCTGCTATATTTCCGGCAGCTAGAGAGCTGTGGCGTTTTGTCGTATCAACGACCCTTCATGCAATCTGGGTCGAGCGCCTCCGCCGCATGGAAGACTCGTCGTTATCACAGGAGGTGCACATATCCAGCGCCAAGACGAGCTTTCGTCGGTCGGTCATACGGTTTCGGCGATCAACCTATCAGCCCGAGATGGGGGAAGATGGGCAACTGTTTGCGCAGGTACGGTCGGCCTTGGCTGATACCCTACTCTGCTACGATGAACCTCCTTCGTTACTAGTCCGGCCTATCGACCGGCTCCCTGGCGAGCTTTACCTCCTCTTCTTTGACGGCGGGTCCCGCGGAAATCCAGGTCCAGGTGGAGCCGGGTCTGTGATTGTACGACTACACGTTCCGACTCACGCCGCATGCGTTCTGTGGGTATCAAGTATGGCTTATGCATCTGCCGATACCACTACCAATGTCGCTGAATATTGGGGGCTCGTGCATGGTCTTCGGCAAGCAAAGACAGGCGACTACTCACCCCTGCACGTCATTGGGGACAGTGCGCTTGTACTTTCTCAACTCCGAACACAACACCCTCCACGCAAGCCGCACTTGGTGCGTTTATTCAACGAAGCACGTGCCATCGCTAACGATATTGATGTCGCCAGCTGGGGACATCAATACTGTAACGGGGCACCCTGAAGCTTGTGCTGGTGACAGTACAAGCTACTTATTCTGATAACAGAATAAGGCGGTGCCTCGTAACTTCACGTACACTCGTACGTGCAGAGGAAGACGGTAAGAAGAAGCGAGTACTCGGTTAGAGTAAAAAGTAGAACTGTATTTATAATAGTTAATGTCTGCAATAAATCACTATTTATCTTCATCTAACTATGTCTAAATACAAATGTGTAAATCAGTTATCTGCTCACCACTCATTGCGTGCGTCTGTCGTGGCGCGTCTTCGTTGGTTGATATAATGGCCTATATCAACCAATTAGGAACTACTTGGAAGTGCTACAGAATATTGTCCTTATGACAATATTCTGAGAATATAACTCTTATAGTTATATTCTATTAACAATTTCTTATAAATTGTTATGTAACGATTCACCCCGTTACATCACCCCCCTTAACCATCAGTCACTTTAGTGACTGATTGACTAAATGGATACTCGTCCCAAATCATTTGGGACGGGGTTTGCACTTGTTGGTCCGCGTCCACTTTCCAACATCTCATCGCATGGTAAACAAGCCCATGCGATGCGCGAGCAAGGCCGCCGAGAGCGCGTCTGCACGTCTCTGTGCGGACGCCGAAGCAGAAACTACAGCAACTGATGTCCCATCGGTTGCTGAATCGACTCAGCCTGTATCACCTGGTGATGCAGGCGCTGGTCATGAAGACACTCGTGTCTTCACAGAGTACGAGCTCGGTGTCTCGTACTCTCCTGATACGGATGACGGATCCGTATCGACGGCAATTGAATCCAAGCCGCCTGCCAAGCGTGGCATGGACGATGCTTTGCGTCGCAGCATCTTTGGTTCATCTGATGAGTCAGATGAACCATCGCCAACGAAGGCGCTCGAGGTCGCGAGACTCGGGCGCTAATAGTGGTGTCGTTTCTCCAATGGACACCACTTCACAGCGAGTGCCAGTACTTCTGTCGGCACGTCGCAGGAAGAGCGGGACCGCAATGTGTTGCGTCTCGCTCCAGAAAGAAGGCATGGATGCCTCCTAAATCTGTCATGGATCACTTGTCGGCGACGACGAGTGATCGTTATCGAACACGATTGTTCGATTCGTCGAGGATTCATCACCTTGACCCCAGCGCGAAAGACTATCGCGCTGAACATGAAGTTCTTCATCGATGCTTTCTTCAGACATCGATGGTACAGTGGGAATCACAAACGTGATGGTCCCTCACTACTTCAGGCGTGGAACGCCTACATCCATAATCTCGAGGATGTAGGTCGTGACGCTTGGAACGACAAACTTATCAAAGCTCGTGATAAGTTTGAAAAGCGAACCCCGACAGGTGCACGCTATAAGCTGCATCGTCTGTCAAGGGAGAAAGGATTACCCTGCCTCTCTTGGGGAGACTCGTGCCCATGTTGTGTGAACAACTCTGCACGAGCACCTAAGGAGGCTTACCTCCTTACCAGCCCGTGGTGGCGCGTACGTGTCTCTACTGAGATGTACGAAGGGATTGACAACCTGAAATCCCTTTACGACCGTGCCGGGAAGACTTTCTCCGGCGGTCCTTCTGCGGCACAGGATGTGTCGCGTCGTACTGCTCGACCAGACCCAGTACGTCAACCATCAATTGGGAGCGGGGCTCCCAAGAATCCCAGGACGGGGGATAGCCGCGCCACCGGACGAGGTAACTCGTCCGACGTCCGTTCACGTCGCGGTGGTTCAACAGCTGCTCTACTAGATAGCGCTGGCCACCGCGAGAGTCCTCTAATGGAGGTGGAGGAGGAGGAAAGACGCTCTCCACACGATCATGTGGATCGGTGTGTTCCCGAGAGCTTCTTTGATCGCGTAACGCAAGGGTTACGCGACGATCTCGAGCATGAGCGGAATAGGCGTCTCCAGATGGTGGACACTGCCTCGAAGCATCGAGCTGAGTTTGCCTTTGCTCAGCTTGAGAACGAGAGATCTCTGACATCTCTTCGTGACGAGCTAAGGGTAGCTCGTGGGATTGTTGATCGGTCTCAGGCTGAGATAACTGCTCTTCAGACCCTTGTTGATGCCCACCATCAGGAGCACAAGGCTCTCTGCGAGATGCTTGAGCGCAAGGGCGTTCTTCATCGGAAGAAGCAGCGTACTGATGGTACGGCTTAAGCCGACCAACGTAAAACGTGGGATGCGTTCGCATCTTACGTGGTAACTCGATCGTGTATGCATTGCCTAGGCGGTGCAATACACGAAATGGAGCCAATGTACTTGGGTAGTAGTTTACTGCTACCCAAGTTAGTCACTACATGTTTTGGTAGATTAACCGTAGACAGTAGGACTAAGTCACCTTTATTAAATAAAGAGTGTTTGCCCTTCCATTCTTGTCAGCGTTTTGCTTTTGCTTATCCACCGCTTCGGCGATGGAGTCTTGCACAAAACGGACTACCGTTTCACGAGCCAGTATGAACTCATCTGATGACTCGTTAGCTTCAGTGTGCTGTGAGCGCACTGCAGCGACAACAACCTTTTCTTCAGTGAGGGCTTCCGCACTCTCACTGGGATCATTGTCTTCAGTGAGGGCTTCCGCACTCTCACTGGCATCATCTTCTTCGATATCGATGTTATCGATATCGGCATCAAACGCAATGACTTCTTCGTCAGAGCGTGATGAGCGTGAACCAAATCGGTTTTTGCTCGCGCGAGTCCCTCCCCCCTTAAACCAGAGTTACACTCTAGTAAGGTGGGTACACGCGGATGGCGCAAGCCATTCACGTAAAACGGTGTATGTGTCGTGGACGCATGCACCGAGTTGTTGATGGCAAACTCTACCATCGGCAAAAACTCACTCCAACTCTTAAAGGAGTGTACGTATCCTCGAAGTATCTCTTCAAGGACACGATTGGCACGTTCCGTCTGACCATCTGACTCTGGATGATCAGATGTTGACATCTTCAAGCGCGTTCCGAGTGATTTGAACACGGAACGCCAGAAATCAGCAGTGAATCGTGGATCTCTGTCTGATACGAGTTCACGGGGCAACCCATGAAGTCGGAAGATGGTGTCAATAAAGACACAAGCACAGCCACTTGCCGTGATTGTCTCTGGTACAGCCACAAGGTGTACCATTTTGCTGAATCTGTCAACAAATACGAGAATACCCGTATTCCCGCGTGCGTCTTTGGGTAACCCGAAGACGAAATCCGTGAGATGGATTCCCAGCACTCAGCCGGAACCGGTAGAGGCTGTAAAGGTGCACGCAGTGAAGGACTTGACTTCACTCGTTGGCAGACTTCGCATGCGCGAACATACTTTCGCACAAACTGATACTGGCGGGGCCAGTAAAAGTCTCGACTTACCGTGAGATATGTTTTCTCTCGGCCACGATGTCCTCCTATAGGAGCATCGTGATACTCGAACATGATCCGCAAACGCAGATCAGTATCATCTGGAATGACAACACGTGGTGTGTCACCAGAAACGGCTGTATAGTACAGTAAACCGTTACGAGTAGTGTATCGATCTGATGCAGATCGATACGCAGACGACAATCGTTTCAACGATTCTCGAGATGGTTGGGAGAGATGTGACAACAACTTCACTATCTCACCATCTTGGGCGTATGCCCGCCTCACATCATCATACAACGTTGTAGATGGAACTGAGGACGTCATAACCGCAACAGTGACTGTCTCACTGTTGGGTTTCGCGACTGTTTCAAAGTCGGGACGACGTGAGAGTGCATCAGCGACGACATTAAGTCGTCCTGGTTTGTACTCGACCGTAAAGTTGTATTCTGCAAAGAATGACAACCACCGCGCCATTCGTTGTGAAAGGTGCGGGCTGTTCACTGCCGTGCGTAAGGACGCATGGTCAGTGTAAACAACGAAGGGTCTATCTCCTAATAGATAGACTCTGAACTTCGCGAGTGCATACTTCATGGCAAGGAGTTCCTTGTCATGCACTGGATAGTTCCGCTCAGCTGGTTGCAGCTGACGCGACTGATAGCAGACGACGCGTTCAACGCCTTCAAGGTCGTACTGCATTAATGCACAGCCGATTGCGAAATCGCTGGCATCACAGACCACATGAAATGGCCTGTCCTGATCGGCTATTGCTAGGACTGGGGATTGTATCAAGCTCTGCTTGATACCCTCAAAGAGCGTTGACATTCAGCGTTCCATAACCACCTCTCGTTCTTTTTCAACAAACGAGAGAGGTGTACAGTCATCTCGGCGTAATTGCGTGAATACTTATGCAAATACGCCGCTAGCTAAGGAATTTTCGAAGACCTTTGACATCGACCGGCACGGGCCAGTCGGTGATCGCCTTGATCTTTTCGGGATCAGGACGTACACCGTTCTTACCAACGATGCACCCAAGAAGTGGTATTTCGCTTGCTGCAAATATACACTTCTTGAGGTTTGCATACAATTGATGCTTTCGCATGATTGTAAGAACTTGTCGGACGTGGTACTTGTGAACCTCAACGTCCGACTTTCCATCCATAGCTCGACTATGGATGAATACGTCATCGAAATAACTCGGCGCGAATTCTCGTACTGGCCTCAACAGATGTGATACACACCTGTTGAACGTGGCAGGGGCATTACTGAGCCCTTGTGGCATTACTAGCCATTCCCAGAGCATGCCGCTAGGCGTGCTAACTGCGGTATAGGGTATATCCCGTTCCCGCATTAGGATTTGATAGAAGCCATCCATCAAATCCATGGACGAAAAGATGGTACTCTTTGACATACCATCAATGATTACGTCCTTCCTCGGTATCGGCGTCTGAGCCGGTACCGTTGCAGCGTTCAATTTGTTAAACGCGTGCACTATCCGCCACCCTCCTGTTGCTTTTCGCACACAGAAGGTCGGAGAGCTATGTGGGGAAGTTGATTCCCTCACATGGCCCGCTGCTAAACGATCGGCAAAGAACTTGTCGATCGCAAGTACTGTTCACGAGGCAGTGGCCACTGCTTCATGACACAGTACTTCGAGCCTGGTTTAAGCTCGACTTCGTGTCGAATACCTTTATCCTTCGGTAATTCGCACGGAACAGTTTCAGGGAATACATCCTTGAATTCAACCAAATCTTCATAGAGAGGATTTTCCTTGAGCGATTCCCATGATTGGGACTCATATCGCTCAATTCGTGTCTTTTCATCTAGGACACTCTCGTCCATAGATGAACTACTGAGAACTCTCTCGTTCTCAGTAAACACTGTTGCTGACCTTATGTCGGTTACATACTCGTCGTCAGCGACGAGTATGCAGATCTGCTTGACTTTGCCACTACGCAGATCACGCAAGAACCTTTTATGTTCGAGCGTTGGCAACTGAGTGATCTCCGAAGTTAACTTCGGAGGCGCAATCAGATCAAGTGTATAAGCGCCTACACATGATCCGTTATTGACTATGACATTCAATGTCTCTGTCATTTCCTGGGGACTTATTCCCTCAGGCTTCGAAGGACTTATTCCTTCGTCTTCCCGAGGACTTATTCCCGCGGGTTTCGGGGAACTTATTTCCGCCGTATTTGTAATCTTGGGACTTATTCCCTTTACTTCCTCTAGCTGGGGTTGCGCAACCACAGCGAGATCCTCTACGAAAGACTCTCCAGTCGATCTAGGATTATCGTTTCGCTTAACCTGAGCGATCGATTGTTTCTCTTCTAGATGTTCCCCTCTAGGGATACATCTTTGTCCCAGTCCACCCGACTTATTCGAGTGGTGGACCTTCAGCGCAACCTGTGTTTCCTCACAGCCGCCGGAACTTTGCTCGAAGTGTAACCGTTTGGTACACTAAGGTTTTGTGCAGTCGTACTAACGACCGTACCACAAGTGAGGCCATCGCACTCACTCGTAGTACATCCACACGCTTGTGGACGCTCCAAAACGTTCATCAGATGGCCATCTGATGAACAAGCGGCAGGCATCGTTACTGTCCGATGTTGCCAGTTTACCCGTGGTTCGTACCTTCTGAGCCACGGTATTCCAGGATGACATCAAATTTGTCATCCAAATCCAATACGATAAAGTCATCGTCGTATTGGGTATCTTCTAGCGTATAGTGAATCTTCACTATACGCTTCATATTTGATTACGGATGCGCCTGTCGCAAGACGTACCGTCATCCTCGTAGGAGGTGTGTCACATTCACTGAATTTAAAGTGACCATCTTCTAGCGATTGGCGTCGCACAAAATTGTTGGACGCCCCACAATCGACTAGAGCTCGAAGGGACAACTTATTCGTCACTTCGAGTTTCAAGTAATGAGTGAGATCTCATTACCTAGAGCAGCAACGCACAATGTCTGTGTGTTGGGAGCAACCTTCATCAAGAGGCCTACAAATTCTCTTGACGTTGCTGGATCAGTAGGGTGCTCCGCACCTACTGATCCTGTCCGTTTTTGACGGTCCATCCCGTTGTTGCGTCTTTGCACCAACTGCGGACCCTCGTCCCTGCCCCTTTCTCATGGGTGGACGGTCACTACGCCCAGTGTCGCGAGACACTGGACGAGAGCACTACACTCGTAAGCGTAGTGTCCTGTCTTTTGACATCTGTTGCATCTCTGCAACTTCTTGTAGCCTGTAGAGCGAGCCTTCTCGCTCTCTACATAACAGAGTTCCATCGGCTCTGGACCTCCGTTGTCATATCGTCTCGGTTGACGATATGATGTCGAGCTGGCGCGAGCCTGTCTCAGACTGAAGTCTTCCTGCTCCGCAATTGAAATGGCTTGTTCTAGTGAATCTAGTTCAAGCCGGAACAGGTGAGTCTTGACGGGACCATCCGCAAGACCCTGCATGAACACCGAAACCAACGTGTGTTCATCCACCGGATTGGAACTTATACAACTCGTGAGATGTCGTATATGTTGAGCGTAAGCGTGCACATCACGCTTACCCTGCTTGAGCTTCAAGAGTTCGGTTCGAGCTCTGAACTCAGCTCTAGGCAGTTCAAACGTTTGTCTGAGCCGCGACTTGAAGACTTCCAACGACCCAAACGCATATGGGTCGTGCAGCTTGAGCCCCAGTGCCCAAGTCTTGGCACGTCCTGCCAGATTTGACTGGGCAAATGCAACTTGCATATCCCCGTCGTCGATGCGACGCGCCCTTATGGCGTCATCCAATTCGACGAACCATCTCAAGAGGGAGTCTTCTTCGACCCCCTATACTTTGAGATGTCAATCTTCAAAGTCTCGGGCCGACGCGAGTGCATCGACCCGCCAGCAGCAGCCTGCTGCTGTCTCAACAGTTCAAACTGTTGAGCACCTTGTTCTCTCAACAACTCTGCTTGTTGAGAACCTTGTTGGTGAAGCAAGGCTACTTTCTCGCGTTCTGCGTCAAGTTCATTTTGAATGAACTTGGCGATAGTAGCATGTTGGGCATCTCTATTGAGAGCCTCTAGCATGACGCTAACAGCATGGATGCCCATGGTCGAACCCATTCGTTCAACCGCATCCCATTCGACATCGCTCAAATGGGAGTAGCCGTCACGCGTAGCGTGAAAGCTTTGGTCATCTTCATCATCCAACATATTCATGTTGGATGTGAACGCAGATCCTTGGACGGACTACGAAGTGCTACCAGGTGTAACGGGGCACCCTGAAGCTTGTACTGGTGACAGTACAAGCTACTTATTCTGATAACAGAATAAGGCGGTGCCTCGTAACTTCACGTACACTCGTACGTGCAGAGGAAGACGGTAAGAAGAAGCGAGTACTCGGTTAGAGTAAAAAGTAGAACTGTATTTATAATAGTTAATGTCTGCAATAAATCACTATTTATCTTCATCTAACTATGTCTAAATACAAATGTGTAAATCAGTTATCTGCTCACCACTCATTGCGTGCGTCTGTCGTGGCGCGTCTTCGTTGGTTGATATAATGGCCTATATCAACCAATTAGGAACTACTTGGAAGTGCTACAGAATATTGTCCTTATGACAATATTCTGAGAATATAACTCTTATAGTTATATTCTATTAACAATTTCTTATAAATTGTTATGTAACGATTCACCCCGTTACAAATACCGCACCTTCAACAAAATGGCGGATCGACTGGCAAATATCGCTATGGACACGGGGTCTTCTATACAAACGCACGCTATCTCGAACCCAGGTCTGGTCCCGGAGGCTTCAAACTTCCTTGACACTGATGTCAATCATTGGTTGGAGACCTCTCAAGCCGACCATCAACTCGTCATACAGGGCCCCGGGCTGACCTCGAGGAACCTGATTATCTCGAGACAGGAGTCTGCGCGAAGGCGCTCTGCTGTGCGAGGACTAGCGCTACCTAGTATATAAAGTAGCGGTAGATTAGGTAACTTTGTTGCCGGATGACAGGATATAGCAGGTCGTACGCGTACCTAAATATACCTCACCTTCTCACTCACTAGGCAGCCGATGCATCGCGGGTGCTGTTCTGTTCCAAGCCGTGATGATGTCATGTAGAACATAATCTGAAAACTGGAGAGATCAGAGGTGATTTTGGTCAATTGTGATGCAAAGTAGCAACGACTGTTTCTAACGAGACTCCCATGATCGTTTCAGCCAATTGTACCACGGGCATTCAGGAAAAGTCCAGACCGAGCAACTTGTTGCAGCCCATTGATGAGCTTCTGGTTTGTCAGAGTAACCTTCGCGTAACCTCCCCATCACTATCTCTTTGGTTCTGTCTTTGACTTTGTAAGAAATGCGTTGTCCGGGGACGGGCAGCAATAAATTACCTCAGTTTCTGTAAGATAATCGCATTACCGAGGCATTTTAGCACGCAGAGCCTACAAATGACACTAATGCCCAAAAAAGAGACATTTTCTTGTGATCTTACAGCCACACCAGTTCAAATTTGAAAGTGTAACAGACTCGTGACTGGATCTGTTCTTACTCTCACGTTTTCCCTCTAATGGGTAATAAACACCGTCTATATACAGCCGAACGACGCACTTTATGCGACGTCGTTGCTGTGGGCTCCGCACCTATCGAAACTGAGCGTGTATGCATCAGACATGAGGTACAACACCGCGGCAGCACGATCAGTTCAAGAAGAGCCAGTCTCAATAGAGAGTTTGTATCGGGGCTTCTGAACAAACCCGTCGCAGAAGCTACATCAAGTAGTACATTAGACCAGACCGCGATCAGATAACTCCCATTTGCACAGACTTCAGTCTATTACATCTACCGATACCATAGCGGCTTACCCTCGGTACTACAATCTCAAGACGCAGAGTCATCCGCTATGTTGATTTGTTCGTTATTTCTGTAAAGGTGACCGCAAAGAGCAGTATTCTACGCTACCAGAAGTCGGTGCCTCCTTCATACCAGCATACACGTCTAAATCGATCTTGGGAGAGGGACCGACGATAGACAGACCGGAGCCCTCCTCCATCCCACACACGACATGTTCTGAACCGGGTCGGCGCGTGAACACGACGTAGATAGTCCATGCAGCCACGTGGAGTGTAATGACAAACACTTGAGGTCCTGCAATGATCCAGTTCGAAGTCACTCGACCGAAGGTAAACCAGCCAAATGTGTTGAAAGTAGTCACAGCCAAAGACCGCGGCACAATAGACGCAGCAGATCGGTGGTAGATTGCACGCAGTAGATTTTTCAGCATAAGCAGGTGACTAATGACGACAGTCACGCCGCAGAAACACAAGCCGTGAGTTTTCCAGACCTGTGCCCGTGTCTGATCGGTGAGGCCCAGACTGCCAACAATGACGTAGAACGTTGGTACTGCAAGCCAAGCAAACATGACGCTAATGGTTTCGGCCACTTGGCGTCGATCTTCTGAGTACCGCCAGAAGATGTAGAGGTAGCAAACTGTAACGACGTCACCGAAGAGGAAGACGGGGAAGCTGGGAAACCACGTTCGACCCAAGTACCCGTACATCATCCACACGTGCGAGTTGGCCAGCACGAGAAAGATGGGAGTGAGGGACGCAGAGCCGACCGCTTTTTCTCGGTAGATCTTACGCACAAAGAGCGACGGCATGTAGATCATCAACAGTGTGCTACACAGGATCCAGAAACGCACGGCCAAGACAAGGTCGCCATTGACCATCGTCACGCGATTTGTAAGTGGACTTGGGGTGTGTCGATGGCAAATTGAAAAGTGAATCTCCAGCTGGACGTCTGTCGCAGTTTCTGATAAGTGGTGGTTGCTCGATCGGATACTTGTTGGTTGCGAGCGAGGTTAAGAGAGCCGAATGCTGACGGGTTGAAGCCAAGCGCCAACTGGCTTGATGCAGCTATTTGTAATGCGCAGAAGGACGACGCATACGAATAGAAGGTGACTCATCGGAGTAGAAGAGCCATTTGCACATCACGCGGAATCCAGACGGAACCGGTTTGCACTCGATGCTCGAGCTTTTACATCAGATCATGCTAAACTTCATCGACATCCCAACAACTTCTCGTGCGTTTGCAAACCGCTTTTCAGACGGCATAACTACTGAAGGAATTGGCATAACTACTGAAAGAAAATTGAATGTAAGCGCACTTGATTTTTGCCGACCTCCATCTGGCGAGTGTATTTATGGCCGAGTGAATGGAGGTGGTATTCCGAGGAGAACTGCCATCTCCAGTATTCAGCACCTATAAATGCTTGAAATTGGTCTTCGCCAGCTGACGGCCATCCCATTACGCGAGCTTTGTCACTGCAGCAACCGCAGTACGTGGGGCTCGGCTTTACGCCTATCTTGAATTATGTCTCAAGTTCAAACAGGACACCCGTCTGACGCGGAGTCAGCCACTGTATCGGGATGAGCCTGTAGCATGTAATTTACCCTGATACTTGTTAATTAGAATGTTATCTCAAAGGGTGATGAAGTTCGTGAACATTATTATGTGAGGGGTACTATTTATGTAACGGGGTGAATCGTTACATAACAATTTATAAGAAATTGTTAATAGAATATAACTATAAGAGTTATATTCTTAGAATATTGTCATAAGGACAAATATTCTGTAGCACTTACGAGTAGTTCCTAATTGGTTGATATAGGCCATTATATCAACCAACGAAGACGCGCCACGACAGACGCACGCAATGAGTGGTGAGCAGATAACTGATTTACACATTTGTATTTAGACATAGTTAGATGAAGATAAATAGTGATTTATTGCAGACATTAACTATTATAAATACAGTTCTACTTTTACTTTAACCAAGTACTCGCTTCTTCTTACCGTCTTCCTCTGCACGTACGAGTGTACGTGAAGTTACGAGGCACCGCCTTATTCTGTCATCAGAATAAGTAGCTTGTACTGTCACCAGTACAAGCTTCAGGGTGCCCCGTTACACCTGGTAGCACTTCGTAGTCCGTCCAAGGACCGCGTTCACATCCAACATGAATATGTTGGATGATGAAGATGACCAAAGCTTTCACGCTACGCGTGACGGCTACTCCCATTTGAGCGATGTCGAATGGGATGCAGTTGAACGAATGGGTTCGACCATGGGCATCCATGCTGTTAGCGTCATGCTAGAGGCTCTCAATAGAGATGCCCAACATGCTACTATCGCCAAGTTCATTCAAAATGAACTTGACGCAGAACGCGAGAAAGTAGCCTTGCTTCACCAACAAGGTTCTCAACAAGCAGAGTTGTTGAGAGAACAAGGTGCTCAACAGTTTGAACTGTTGAGACAGCAGCAGGCTGCTGCTGGCGGGTCGATGCACTCGCGTCGGCCCGAGACTTTGAAGATTGACATCTCAAAGTATAGGGGGTCGAAGAAGACTCCCTCTTGAGATGGTTCGTCGAGGTGGATGACGCCATAAGGGCGCGTCGCATCGACGACGGGGATATGCAAGTTGCATTTGCCCAGTCAAATCTGGCAGGACGTGCCAAGACTTGGGCACTGGGGCTCAAGCTGCACGACCCATATGCGTTTGGGTCGTTGGAAGTCTTCAAGTCGCGGCTCAGACAAACGTTTGAACCGCCTAGAGCTGAGTTCAGAGCTCGAACCGAACTCTTGAAGCTCAAGCAGGGTAAGCGTGATGTGCACGCTTACGCTCAACATATACGACATCTCACGAGTTGTATAAGTTCCAATCCGGTGGATGAACACACGTTGGTTTCGGTGTTCATGCAGGGTCTTGCGGATGGTCCCGTCAAGACTCACCTGTTCCGGCTTGAACTAGATTCACTAGAACAAGCCATTTCAATTGCGGAGCAGGAAGACTTCAGTCTGAGACAGGCTCGCGCCAGCTCGACATCATATCGTCAACCGAGACGATATGACAACGGAGGTCCAGAGCCGATGGAACTCTGTTATGTAGAGAGCGAGAAGGCTCGCTCTACAGGCTACAAGAAGTTGCAGAGATGCAACAGATGTCAAAAGACAGGACACTACGCTTACGAGTGTAGTGCCCCTCGTCCAGTGTCTCGCGACACTGGGCGTAGTGACCGTCCACCCATGAGAAAGGGGCAGGGACGAGGGTCCGCAGTTGGTGCAAAGACGCAACAACGGGATGGACCGTCAAAAAAACGGACAGGATCAGTAGGTGCGGAGCACCTACTGATCCAGCAACGTCAAGAGAATTTGTAGGCCTCTTGATGAAGGTTGCTCCCAACACACAGACATTGTGCGTTGCTGCTCTAGGTAATGAGATCTCACTCATTACCTTGAAACTCGAAGTGACGAATAAGTTGTCCCTTCGAGCTCTAGTCGATTGTGGGGCGTCCAACAATTTTGTGCGACGCCAATCGCTAGAAGATGGTCACTTTAAATTCAGTGAATGTGACACACCTCCTACGAGGATGACGGTACGTCTTGCGACAGGCGCATCCGTAACCGTCATGAAGCGTATAGTGAAGATTCACTATACGCTAGAAGATACCCAATACGACGATGACTTTATCGTATTGGATTTGGATGACAAATTTGATGTCATCCTTGGAATACCGTGGCTCAGAAGGTACGAACCACGTGTAAACTGGCAACATCGGACAGTAACGATGCCTGCCGCTTGTTCATCAGATGGCCATCTGATGAACGTTTTGGAACGTCCACAAGCGTGTGGATGTACTACGAGTGAGTGCGATGGCCTCACTTGTGGTACGGTCGTTAGTACGACTGCACAAAACCTTAGTGTACCAAACGGTTACACTTCGGAGCAAAGTTCCGGCGGCTGTGAGGAAACACAGGCTGCGCCGAAGGTCCACCACTCGAATAAGTCGGGTGGACTGGGACAAAGATGTATCCCTAGAGGGGAACATCTAGAAGAGAAACAATCGATCGCTCAGGTTAAGCGAAACGATAATCCTAGATCGACTGGAGAGTCTTTCGTAGAGGATCTCGCTGTGGTTGCGCAACCCCAGCTAGAGGAAGTAAAGGGAATAAGTCCCAAGATTACAAACACGGCGGAAATAAGTTCCCCGAAACCCGCGGGAATAAGTCCCCGGGAAGACGAAGGAATAAGTCCTTCGAAGCCTGAGGGAATAAGTCCCCAGGAAATGACAGAGACATTGAATGTCATAGTCAATAACGGATCATGTGTAGGCGCTTATACACTTGATCTGATTGCGCCTCCGAAGTTAACTTCGGAGATCACTCAGTTGCCAACGCTCGAACATAAAAGGTTCTTGCGTGATCTGCGTAGTGGCAAAGTCAAGCAGATCTGCATACTCGTCGCTGAAGACGAGTATGTAACCGACATAAGGTCAGCAACAGTGTTTACTGAGAACGAGAGAGTTCTCAGTAGTTCATCTATGGACGAGAGTGCCCTAGATGAAAAGACACGAATTGAGCGATATGAGTCCCAATCATGGGAATCGCTCAAGGAAAATCCTCTCTATGAAGATTTGGTTGAATTCAAGGATGTATTCCCTGAAACTGTTCCGTGCGAATTACCGAAGGATAAAGGTATTCGACACGAAGTCGAGCTTAAACCAGGCTCGAAGTACTGTGTCATGAAGCAGTGGCCACTGCCTCGTGAACAAGTACTTGCGATCGACAAGTTCTTTGCCGATCGTTTAGCAGCGGGCCATGTGAGGGAATCAACTTCCCCACATAGCTCTCCGACCTTCTGTGTGCGAAAAGCAACAGGAGGGTGGCGGATAGTGCACGCGTTTAACAAATTGAACGCTGCAACGGTACCGGCTCAGACGCCGATACCGAGGAAGGACGTAATCATTGATGGTATGTCAAAGAGTACCATCTTTTCGTCCATGGATTTGATGGATGGCTTCTATCAAATCCTAATGCGGGAACGGGATATACCCTATACCGCAGTTAGCACGCCTAGCGGCATGCTCTGGGAATGGCTAGTAATGCCACAAGGGCTCAGTAATGCCCCTGCCACGTTCAACAGGTGTGTATCACATCTGTTGAGGCCAGTACGAGAATTCGCGCCGAGTTATTTCGATGACGTATTCATCCATAGTCGAGCTATGGATGGAAAGTCGGACGTTGAGGTTCACAAGTACCACGTCCGACAAGTTCTTACAATCATGCGAAAGCATCAATTGTATGCAAACCTCAAGAAGTGTATATTTGCAGCAAGCGAAATACCACTTCTTGGGTGCATCGTTGGTAAGAACGGTGTACGTCCTGATCCCGAAAAGATCAAGGCGATCACCGACTGGCCCGTGCCGGTCGATGTCAAAGGTCTTCGAAAATTCCTTGGGCTAGCGGCGTATTTGCATAAGTATTCACGCAATTACGCCGAGATGACTGTACACCTCTCTCGTTTGTTGAAAAAGAACGAGAGGTGGTTATGGAACGCTGAATGTCAACGCTCCTTTGAGGGTATCAAGCAGAGCTTGATACAATCCCCAGTCCTAGCAATAGCCGATCAGGACAGGCCATTTCATGTGGTCTGTGATGCCAGCGATTTCGCAATCGGCTGTGCATTAATGCAGTACGACCTTGAAGGCGTTGAACGCGTCGTCTGCTATCAGTCGCGTCAGCTGCAACCAGCTGAGCGGAACTATCCAGTGCATGACAAGGAACTCCTTGCCATGAAGTATGCACTCGCGAAGTTCAGAGTCTATCTATTAGGAGATAGACCCTTCGTTGTTTACACTGACCATGCGTCCTTACGCACGGCAGTGAACAGCCCGCACCTTTCACAACGAATGGCGCGATGGTTGTCATTCTTTGCAGAATACAACTTTACGGTCGAGTACAAACCAGGACGACTTAATGTCGTCGCTGATGCACTCTCACGTCGTCCCGACTTTGAAACAGTCGCGAAACCCAACAGTGAGACAGTCACTGTTGCGGTTATGACGTCCTCAGTTCCATCTACAACGTTGTATGATGATGTGAGGCGGGCATACGCCCAAGATGGTGAGATAGTGAAGTTGTTGTCACATCTCTCCCAACCATCTCGAGAATCGTTGAAACGATTGTCGTCTGCGTATCGATCTGCATCAGATCGATACACTACTCGTAACGGTTTACTGTACTATACAGCCGTTTCTGGTGACACACCACGTGTTGTCATTCCAGATGATACTGATCTGCGTTTGCGGATCATGTTCGAGTATCACGATGCTCCTATAGGAGGACATCGTGGCCGAGAGAAAACATATCTCACGGTAAGTCGAGACTTTTACTGGCCCCGCCAGTATCAGTTTGTGCGAAAGTATGTTCGCGCATGCGAAGTCTGCCAACGAGTGAAGTCAAGTCCTTCACTGCGTGCACCTTTACAGCCTCTACCGGTTCCGGCTGAGTGCTGGGAATCCATCTCAATGGATTTCGTCTTCGGGTTACCCAAAGACGCACGCGGGAATACGGGTATTCTCGTATTTGTTGACAGATTCAGCAAAATGGTACACCTTGTGGCTGTACCAGAGACAATCACGGCAAGTGGCTGTGCTTGTGTCTTTATTGACACCATCTTCCGACTTCATGGGTTGCCCCGTGAACTCGTATCAGACAGAGATCCACGATTCACTGCTGATTTCTGGCGTTCCGTGTTCAAATCACTCGGAACGCGCTTGAAGATGTCAACATCTGATCATCCAGAGTCAGATGGTCAGACGGAACGTGCCAATCGTGTCCTTGAAGAGATACTTCGAGGATACGTACACTCCTTTAAGAGTTGGAGTGAGTTTTTGCCGATGGTAGAGTTTGCCATCAACAACTCGGTGCATGCGTCCACGACACATACACCGTTTTACGTGAATGGCTTGCGCCATCCGCGTGTACCCACCTTACTAGAGTGTAACTCTGGTTTAAGGGGGAGGGACTCGCGCGAGCAAAAACCGATTTGGTTCACGCTCATCACGCTCTGACGAAGAAGTCATTGCGTTTGATGCCGATATCGATAACATCAATATCGAAGAAGATGATGCCAGTGAGAGTGCGGAAGCCCTCACTGAAGACAATGATCCCAGTGAGAGTGCGGAAGCCCTCACTGAAGAAAAGGTTGTTGTCGCTGCAGTGCGCTCACAGCACACTGAAGCTAACGAGTCATCAGATGAGTTCATACTGGCTCGTGAAACGGTAGTCCGTTTTGTGCAAGACTCCATCGCCGAAGCGGTGGATAAGCAAAAGCAAAACGCTGACAAGAATGGAAGGGCAAACACTCTTTTATTTAATAAAGGTGACTTAGTCCTACTGTCTACGGTTAATCTACCAAAACATGTAGTGACTAACTTGGGTAGCAGTAAACTAATACCCAAGTACATCGGCCCATTTCGTGTATTGCACCGCCTAGGCAATGCATACACGATCGAGTTACCACGTAAGATGCGAACGCATCCCACGTTTTACGTTGGTCGGCTTAAGCCGTACCATCAGTACGCTGCTTCTTCCGATGAAGAACGCCCTTGCGCTCAAGCATCTCGCAGAGAGCCTTGTGCTCCCGATGGTGGGCATCAACAAGGGTCTGAAGAGCAGTTATCTCAGCCCGAGACCGATCAACAATCCCACGAGCTACCCTTAGCTCGTCACGAAGAGATGTCAGAGATCTCTCGTTCTCAAGCTGAGCAAAGGCAAACTCAGCTCGATGCTTCGAGGCAGTGTCCACCATCTGGAGACGCCTATTCCGCTCATGCTCGAGATCGTCGCGTAACCCTTGCGTTACGCGATCAAAAAGCTCTCGGGAACACACCGATCCACATGATCGTGTGGAGAGCGTCTTTCCTCCTCCTCCACCTCCATTAGAGGACTCTCGCGGTGGCCAGCGCTATCTAGTAGAGCAGCTGTTGAACCACCGCGACGTGAACGGACGTCGGACGAGTTACCTCGTCCGGTGGCGCGGCTATCCCCCGTCCTGGGATTCTTGGGAGCCCCGCTCCCAATTGATGGTTGACGTACTGGGTCTGGTCGAGCAGTACGACGCGACACATCCTGTGCCGCAGAAGGACCGCCGGAGAAAGTCTTCCCGGCACGGTCGTAAAGGGATTTCAGGTTGTCAATCCCTTCGTACATCTCAGTAGAGACACGTACGCGCCACCACGGGCTGGTAAGGAGGTAAGCCTCCTTAGGTGCTCGTGCAGAGTTGTTCACACAACATGGGCACGAGTCTCCCCAAGAGAGGCAGGGTAATCCTTTCTCCCTTGACAGACGATGCAGCTTATAGCGTGCACCTGTCGGGGTTCGCTTTTCAAACTTATCACGAGCTTTGATAAGTTTGTCGTTCCAAGCGTCACGACCTACATCCTCGAGATTATGGATGTAGGCGTTCCACGCCTGAAGTAGTGAGGGACCATCACGTTTGTGATTCCCACTGTACCATCGATGTCTGAAGAAAGCATCGATGAAGAATTCGTTTCAGCGCGATAGTCCTTCGCGCTGGGGTCAAGGTGATGGATCCTTGACGAATCGAACAATCGTGTTCGATAACGATCACTCGTCGTCGCCGACAAGTGATCCATGACGGATTTTGGAGGCATCCATGCCTTCTTCTCAGGAGCGAGACGCAACACATTGCGGTCCCGCTCTTCCTGCGACGTGCCGACAGAAGTACTGGCACCTCGCTGTGAAGTGGTGTCCATTGGAGAAACGACACCACTATTAGCGCCCGAGTCTCGCGACCTCGAGCGCCTTCGCTTCGGCGATGGTTCATCTGACTCATCAGATGAACCAAAGATGCTGCGACGCAAAGCATCGTCCATGCCACGCTTGGCAGGCGGCTTGGATTCAATTGCCGTCGATACGGATCCGTCATCTGTATCAGGAGAGTACGAGACACCGAGCTCGTACTCTGTGAAGACACGAGTGTCTTCATGACCAGCGCGTGCATCGCCAAGTGACACAGGCTGGGTCGCTTCAGCAACCGATGAGACATCAGTTGCTGTTGTTTCTGCTTCGGCGTCCGCACAGAGACGTGCAGACGCGCTCTCGGCGGCCTTGCTCGCGCATCGCATGGGCTTGTTTACCATGCGATGAGATGTTGGAAAGTGGACGCGGACCAACAAGTGCAAACCCCGTCCCAAATGATTTGGGACGAGTATCCATTCAGTCAATCAGTCACTAAAGTGACTGATGGTTAAGGGGGGTGATGTAACGGGGTGAATCGTTACATAACAATTTATAAGAAATTGTTAATAGAATATAACTATAAGAGTTATATTCTCAGAATATTGTCATAAGGACAAATATTCTGTAGCACTTACAAGTAGTTCCTAATTGGTTGATATAGGCCATTATATCAACCAACGAAGACGCGCCACGACAGACGCACGCAATGAGTGGTGAGCAGATAACTGATTTACACATTTGTATTTAGACATAGTTAGATGAAGATAAATAGTGATTTATTGCAGACATTAACTATTATAAATACAGTTCTACTTTTTACTCTAACCGAGTACTCGCTTCTTCTTACCGTCTTCCTCTGCACGTACGAGTGTACGTGAAGTTACGAGGCACCGCCTTATTCTGTCATCAGAATAAGTAGCTTGTACTGTCACCAGTACAAGCTTCAGGGTGCCCCGTTACAATCCACACGTGCGAGTTGGCCAGCACGAGAAAGATGGGAGTGAGGGACGCAGAGCCGACCGCTTTTTCTCGGTAGATCTTACGCACAAAGAGCGACGGCATGTAGATCATCAACAGTGTGCTACACAGGATCCAGAAACGCACGGCCAAGACAAGGTCGCCATTGACCATCGTCACGCGATTTGTAAGTGGACTTGGGGTGTGTCGATGGCAAATTGAAAAGTGAATCTCCAGCTGGACGTCTGTCGCAGTTTCTGATAAGTGGTGGTTGCTCGATCGGATACTTGTTGGTTGCGAGCGAGGTTAAGAGAGCCGAATGCTGACGGGTTGAAGCCAAGCGCCAACTGGCTTGATGCAGCTATTTGTAATGCGCAGAAGGACGACGCATACGAATAGAAGGTGACTCATCGGAGTAGAAGAGCCATTTGCACATCACGCGGAATCCAGACGGAACCGGTTTGCACTCGATGCTCGAGCTTTTACATCAGATCATGCTAAACTTCATCGACATCCCAACAACTTCTCGTGCGTTTGCAAACCGCTTTTCAGACGGCATAACTACTGAAGGAATTGGCATAACTACTGAAAGAAAATTGAATGTAAGCGCACTTGATTTTTGCCGACCTCCATCTGGCGAGTGTATTTATGGCCGAGTGAATGGAGGTGGTATTCCGAGGAGAACTGCCATCTCCAGTATTCAGCACCTATAAATGCTTGAAATTGGTCTTCGCCAGCTGACGGCCATCCCATTACGCGAGCTTTGTCACTGCAGCAACCGCAGTACGTGGGGCTCGGCTTTACGCCTATCTTGAATTATGTCTCAAGTTCAAACAGGACACCCGTCTGACGCGGAGTCAGCCACTGTATCGGGATGAGCCTGTAGCATGTAATTTACCCTGATACTTGTTAATTAGAATGTTATCTCAAAGGGTGATGAAGTTCGTGAACATTATTATGTGAGGGGTACTATTTATGTAACGGGGTGAATCGTTACATAACAATTTATAAGAAATTGTTAATAGAATATAACTATAAGAGTTATATTCTTAGAATATTGTCATAAGGACAAATATTCTGTAGCACTTACGAGTAGTTCCTAATTGGTTGATATAGGCCATTATATCAACCAACGAAGACGCGCCACGACAGACGCACGCAATGAGTGGTGAGCAGATAACTGATTTACACATTTGTATTTAGACATAGTTAGATGAAGATAAATAGTGATTTATTGCAGACATTAACTATTATAAATACAGTTCTACTTTTTACTTTAACCAAGTACTCGCTTCTTCTTACCGTCTTCCTCTGCACGTACGAGTGTACGTGAAGTTACGAGGCATCGCCTTATTCTGTTATCAGAATAAGTAGCTTGTACTGTCACCAGTACAAGCTTCAGGGTGCCCCGTTACACCTGGTAGCACTTCGTAGTCCGTCCAAGGACCACGTTCACATCCAACATGAATATGTTGGATGATGAAGATGACCAAAGCTTTCACGCTACGCGTGACGGCTACTCCCATTTGAGCGATGTCGAATGGGATGCAGTTGAACGAATGGGTTCGACCATGGGCATCCATGCTGTTAGCGTCATGCTAGAGGCTCTCAATAGAGATGCCCAACATGCTACTATCGCCAAGTTCATTCAAAATGAACTTGACGCAGAACGCGAGAAAGTAGCCTTGCTTCACCAACAAGGTTCTCAACAAGCAGAGTTGTTGAGAGAACAAGGTGCTCAACAGTTTGAACTGTTGAGACAGCAGCAGGCTGCTGCTGGCGGGTCGATGCACTCGCGTCGGCCCGAGACTTTGAAGATTGACATCTCAAAGTATAGGGGGTCGAAGAAGACTCCCTCTTGAGATGGTTCGTCGAATTGGATGACGCCATAAGGGCGCGTCGCATCGACGACGGGGATATGCAAGTTGCATTTGCCCAGTCAAATCTGGCAGGACGTGCCAAGACTTGGGCACTGGGGCTCAAGCTGCACGACCCATATGCGTTTGGGTCGTTGGAAGTCTTCAAGTCGCGGCTCAGACAAACGTTTGAACCGCCTAGAGCTGAGTTCAGAGCTCGAACCGAACTCTTGAAGCTCAAGCAGGGTAAGCGTGATGTGCACGCTTACGCTCAACATATACGACATCTCACGAGTTGTATAAGTTCCAATCCGGTGGATGAACACACGTTGGTTTCGGTGTTCATGCAGGGTCTTGCGGATGGTCCCGTCAAGACTCACCTGTTCCGGCTTGAACTAGATTCACTAGAACAAGCCATTTCCATTGCGGAGCAGGAAGACTTCAGTCTGAGACAGGCTCGCGCCAGCTCGACATCATATCGTCAACCGAGACGATATGACAGCGGAGGTCCAGAGCCGATGGAACTCTGTTATGTAGAGAGCGAGAAGGCTCGCTCTACAGGCTACAAGAAGTTGCAGAGATGCAACAGATGTCAAAAGACAGGACACTACGCTTACGAGTGTAGTGCCCCTCGTCCAGTGTCTCGCGACACTGGGCGTAGTGACCGTCCACCCATGAGAAAGGGGCAGGGACGCGGGTCCGCTGTTGGTGCAAAGACGCAACAACGGGATGGACCGTCAAAAAAACGGACAGGATCAGTAGGTGCGGAGCACCCTACTGATCCAGCAACGTCAAGAGAATTTGTAGGCCTCTTGATGAAGGTTTCTCCCAACACACAAACGTTGTGCGTTGCTGCTCTAGGTAATGAGGTCTCACTCATTACCTTGAAACTCGAAGTGACGAATAAGTTGTCCCTTCGAGCTCTAGTCGATTGTGGGGCGTCCAACAATTTTGTGCGACGCCAATCGCTAGAAGATGGTCACTTTAAGTTCAGTGAATGTGACACACCTCCTACGAGGATGACGGTACGTCTTGCGACAGGCGCATCCGTAACCGTCATGAAGCGTATAGTGAAGATCCACTATACGCTAGAAGATACCCAATATGGCGATGACTTTATCGTATTGGATTTGGATGACAAATTTGACGTCATCCTTGGAATACCGTGGCTCAGAAAGTACGAACCACGAGTAAACTGGCAACATCGAACAGTAACGATGCCTGCCGCTTGTTCATCAGATGGCCATCTGATGAACGTTTTGGAGCGTCCACAAGCGTGTGGATGTACTACGAGTGAGTGCGATGGCCTCACTTGTGGTACGGTCGTTAGTACGACTGCACAAAACCTTAGTGTACCAAACGGTTACACTTCGGAGCAAAGTTCCGGCGGCTGTGAGGAAACACAGGCTGCGCCGAAGGTCCACCACTCGAATAAGTCGGGTGGACTGGGACAAAGATGTATCCCTAGCGGGGAACATCTAGAAGAGAAAAGATCGATCGCTCAGGTTAAGCGAAACGATAATCCTAGATCGACTGGAGAGTCTTTCGTAGAGGATCTCGCTGTGGTTGCGCAACCCCAGCTAGAGGAAGTAAAGGGAATAAGTCCCAAGATTACAAATACGGCGGAAATAAGTTCCCCGAAATCCGCGGGAATAAGTCCCCGGGAAGACGAAGGAATAAGTCCTTCGAAGCCTGAGGGAATAAGTCCCCAGGAAATGACAGAGACATTGAATGCCATAGTCAATAACGGATCAAGTGTAGGCGCTTATACACTTGATCTGATTGCGCCTCCGAAGTTGACTTCGGAGATCACTCAGTTGCCAACGCTCGAACATAAAAGGTTCTTGCGTGATCTGCGTAGTGGCAAAGTCAAGCAGATCTGCGTACTCGTCGCTGACGACGAGTGTGTAACCGACATAAGGTCAGCAACAGTGTTTACTGAGAACGAGAGAGTTCTCAGTAGTTCATCTATGGACGAGAGTGTCCTAGATGAAAAGACACGAATTGAGCGATATGACTCCCAATCGTGGGAATCGCTCAAGACAAATCCTCTCTATGAAGATTTGGTTGAATTCAAGGATGTATTCCCTGAAACTGTTCCGTGCGAATTACCGAAGGATAAAGGTATTCGACACGAGGCCGAGCTTAAACCAGGCTCGAAGTACTGTGTCATGAAGCAGTGGCCACTGCCTCGTAAACAAGTACTTGCGATCGACAAGTTCTTTGCCGATCGTTTAGCTGCGGGCCATGTGAGGGAATCAACTTCCCCACATAGCTCTCCGACCTTCTGTGTGCGAAAAGCAACAGGAGGGTGGCGGATAGCGCACGCGTTCAACAAATTGAACGCTGCAACGGTACCGGCTCAGACGCCGATACCGAGGAAGGACGTAATCATTGATGGCATGTCAAAGAGTACCATCTTTTCGTCCATGGATTTGATGGATGGCTTCTATCAAATCCTTATGCGGGAACGGGATATACCCTATACCGCAGTTAGCACGCCTAGCGGCATGCTCTGGGAATGGCTAGTAATGCCACAAGGGCTCAGTAATGCCCCTGCCACGTTCAACAGACGTGTATCACATCTGTTGAGACCAGTACGAGAATTCGCGCCGAGTTATTTCGATGACGTATTCATCCATAGTCGAGCTATGGATGGAAAGTCGGACGTTGAGGTTCACAGGTGCCACGTCCGACAAATGCTTAAAATCATGCGAAAGCATCAATTGTATGCAAACCTCAAGAAGTGTATATTTACCGCAAGCGAAATACCACTTCTTGGGTGCATCGTTGGTAAGAACGGTGTACGTCCTGATCCCGAAAAGATCAAGGCGATCACCGACTGGCCTGTGCCGGTCGATGTCAAAGGTCTTCGAAAATTCCTTGGGCTAGCGGCGTATTTGCATAAGTATTCACGCAATTACGCCGAGATGCCTGTGCACCTCTCTCGTTTGTTGAAACAGAACGAGAGGTGGTTATGGAACGCTGAATGTCAGTGCTACTTTGATGGTATCAAGCAGAGCTTGATACAATCCCCAGTCCTAGCAATTGCCGATCAGGACAGACCATTTCATGTGGTCTGTGATGCCAGCGATTTCGCAATCGGCTGTGCATTAATGCAGTACGATCTTGAAGGCGTTGAACGCGTCGTCTGCTATCAGTCGCGTCAGCTGCAACCAGCTGAGCGGAACTATCCAGTGCATGACAAGGAACTCCTTGCCATGACGTATGCACTCGCGAAGTTCAGAGTCTATCTATTAGGAGATAGACCCTTCATTGTTTACACTGACCATGCGTCGTTACGCACGGCAGTGAACAGCCCGCACCTTTCACAACGAATGGCGCGGTGGTTGTCATTCTTTGCGGAATACAACTTTACGGTCGAGTACAAACCAGGACGACTTAATGTCGTCGCTGATGCACTCTCACGTCGTCCCGACTTTGAAACAGTCGCGAAACCCAACAGTGAGACAGTCACTGTTGCGGTTATGACGTCCTCAGTCCCATCTTCAACTTTACCTGATGATGTGAGGCGGGCGTATGCCCAAGATGGTGAGATTGTGAAGTTGTTGGCACATCTCTCACAAACATCTCGAGAATCGCTGAAACGATTATCGTCTGCGTATCGATATGCATCAGATCGATACACTACTCGCAACGGTTTACTGTACTATACAGCCGTTTCTGGTGACACACCACGTGTTGTCATTCCAGATGATACTGATCTGCGTTTGCGGATCATGTTCGAGTATCACGATGCTCCTATAGGAGGACATCGTGGTCGTGAGAAAACATATCTCACGGTGAATCGAGACTTTTACTGGCCCCGCCAGTATCAGTTTGTGCGAAAATATGTTCGCGCATGCGAAGTCTGCCAACGATTGAAGTCAAGTCCTTCCCTGCGTGCACCTTTACAGCCTCTACCAGTTTCTGCAGAGTGCTGGAAATCCATCTCAATGGATTTCGTCTTCTGGTTACCCAAAGACGCACGCGGGAATACGGGTATTCTCGTATTCGTTGACAGATTCAGCAAAATGGTACACCTTGTGGCTGTACCAAAGTTAATTACAGTAAGTGACTGAGGTTGTGTCTTTATCGACACCATCTTCCGACTTCATGGTTACCCTGTGAACTCGCATTAGACAGAGATCCACGTTTCACTGCTGATTTCTGGCGTTCCGTGTTCAAATCACTCGGAACGCGCTTGAAGATGTCGACATCTGATCATCCAGAGGCAGATGGTCGGACGGGAAGAGCCAATCGTGTCCTCGAAGAGATACTTCGAGGATACGTACACTCCTTTAAGAGTTGGAGTGAGTTCTTGCAAATAGTAGAGTTTGCCATCAACAACTCGGTGCATGCGTCCACAACACATACACCGTTTTACGTGAATGGCTTGCGCCATCCGCGTGTACCCACCTTACTAGAGTGTAACTCTGGTTTAAGGGGGGGAGGGACTCGCGCGAGCAAAAACCGATTTGGGTCACGCTCATCACGCTCTGACGAAGAGGTCATTGCGTTTGATGCCGATATCGATAACATCGATGTCGAAGAAGATGGTGCCAGCGAGAGTGCGGAAGCCCTCACTGAAGAAGATGATCCCAGTGAGAGTGCGGAAGCCCTCACTGAAGAAAAGGTTGATGTTGCTGCAGTGCGCTCACAGCACACTGAAGCTAACGAGTCATCAGATGAGTTCATACTGGCTCGTGAAACGGTAGTCCGTTTTGTGCAAGACTCCATCGCCGAAGCGGTGGATAAGCAAAAGCAAAACGCTGACAAGAATGGAAGGGCAAACACTCTTTTATTTAATAAAGGTGACTTAGTCCTACTGTCTACGGTTAATCTACCAAAGCATGTAGTGACTAACTTGGGTAGCAGTAAACTACTACCCAAGTACATCGGCCCATTTCGTGTATTGCACCGCCTAGGCAATGCATACACGATCGAGTTACCACGTAAGATGCGAACGCATCCCACGTTTTACGTTGGTCGGCTTAAGCCGTACCATCAGTACGCTGCTTCTTCCGATGAAGAACGCCCTTGCGCTCAAGCATCTCGCAGAGAGCCTTGTGCTCCCGATGGTGGGCATTAACAAGGGTCTGAAGAGCAGCTATCTCATCCCGAGACCGATCAGCAATCCCACGAGCTACCCTTAGCTCGTCACGAAGAGATGTCAGAGATCTCTCGTTCTCAAGCTGAGCAAAGGCAAACTCAGCTCGATGCTCCAAGACAGTGTCCGCCAATTGGAGACGCCTGTCCCGCTCATGTTCGAGATCGTTGCGTAACCCTTGCGTTACGCGATCAAAGAATCTCTCGGGAACACACGGATCCCCATGATCGTGTGGAGAGCGTCTTTCCTCCTCCTCCACCTCCATTAGAGGACTCTCGCGGTGGCCAGCGCTATCTAGTAGAGCAGCTGTTGAACCACCGCGACGTGAACGGACGTCGGACGAGTTATCTCGTCCGGTCCGCGCGGCTATCCCCCGTCCTGGAATACTTGGGAGCCCCGCTCCCAACTGATAATTGACGTACTGGGTCTGGTTGAGCAGTACGACGCGGCACATCCTGTGCCGCAGAAGGACCGCCGGAGAAAGTCTTCCCGGCACGGTCGTAAAGGGATTTCAGGTTGTCAATCCCTTCGTACATCTCAGTAGAGATACGTACGCGCCACCACGGGCTATTAAGGAGGTAAGCTTCCTTAGGTGCTCGTGCAGAGTTTTTCACACAACATGGGCACGAGTCTCCCCAAGAGAGGCAGGGTAATCCCTTCTCCCTTGACAGACGATGCAGCTTGTAGCGTGCACCTGTCGGGGTTCGCTTTTCAAACTTATCACGAGCTTTGATAAGTTTGTCGTTCCAAGCGTCACGACCTACATCCTCGATTTTTTTTATGAATGTAGGCGTTCCACGCTTAAAGTAGTGAGGGACCATCACGCTTGTGATTCCCACTGTACCATCGATGCTTAAAGAAAGCATCGATGAAGAATTCGTTTCAGCGCGATAGTCCTTCGCGCTGGGGTCAAGGTGATGGATCCTTGACGAATCGAACAATCGTGTTCGATAACGATCACTCGTCGTCGCCGACAAGTGATCCATGACGGATTTTGGAGGCATCCATGCCTTCTTCTCAGGAGCGAGACGCAAGACATTGCGGTCCCGCTCTTCCTGCGACGTGCCGACAGAAGTACTGGCACCTCGTTGCGAAGTGGTGTCCATAGGAGAACCGACACCACTGTTAGCGCCCGAGTCTCGCGACCTCGAGCGCCTTCGCTTCGGCGATGGTTCATCTGATTCATCAGATGAACCAAAGATGCTGCGACGCAAAGCATCGTCCATGCCACGCTTGGCAGGCGGCTTAGATTCGATCGCCGTCGATACGGATCCGTCATCCGTATCAGGAGAGTACGAGACACCGAGCTCGTACTCTGTGAAGACACGAGTGTCTTCATGACCAGCGCCTGCATCACCAAGTGACAAAGGATGAGTCGCTTCAGCAACCGATGAGACATCAGTTGCTGTGGTTTCTGCTTCGGCGTCCGCACAGAGACGTGCGGACGCGCTCTCGGCGGCCTTGCTCGCGCATCGCATGGGCTTGTTTACCATGCGATGAGATGTTGGAAAGTGGACGCGGACCAACAAGTGCAAACCCTGTCCCAAATGATTTGGGACGAGTATCCATTTAGTCAATCAGTCACTAAAGTGACTGATGGTTAAGGGGGGGGGTGATGTAACGGGGTGAATCGTTACATAACAATTTATAACAAATTGTTAATAGAATATAACTATAAGAGTTATATTCTCAGAATATTGTCATAAGGACAAATATTCTGTAGCGCTTACGAGTAGTTCCTAATTGGTTGATATAGGCCATTATATCAACCAACGAAGACGCGCCACGACAGACGCACGCAATGAGTGGTAAGCAGATAGTTGATTTACACATTTGTATTTGGACATAGTTAGACGAGGATAAATAGTGATTTATTAACAGACATTAACTATTATAAATACAGTTCTACTTTTTACTTTAACCAAGTACTCGCTTCTTCTTACCGTCTTCCTCTGCACGTACGAGTGTACGTGAAGTTACGAGGCATCGCCTTATTCTGTTATCAGAATAAGTAGCTTGTACTGTCACCAGTACAAGCTTCAGGGTGCCCCGTTACACCTGGTAGCACTTTGTAGTCCGTCCAAGGACCGCGTTCACATCCAACATGAATATGTTGGATGATGAAGATGACCAAAGCTTTCACGCTACGCGTGACGGCTACTCCCATTTGAGCGATGTCGAATGGGATGCGGTTGAACGGATGGGTTCAACCATGGGCATCCATGCTGTTAGCGTCATGCTAGAGGCTCTCAATAGAGATGCCCAACATGCTACTATCGCCAAGTTCATTCAAAATGAACTTGACGCTGAACGCGAGAAAGTAGCCTTGCTTCACCAACAAGGTTCTCAACAAGCAGAGTTGTTGAGAGAACAGGGTGCTCAACAGTTTGAACTGTTGAGACAGCAGCAGGCTGCTGCTGGCGGGTCGATGCACTCGCGTCGACCCGAGACTTTGAAGATTGACATCTCCAAGTATAGGTGAGTCGAAGAAGACTCCCTCTTGAGATGGTTCGTCGAATTGGATGACGCCATAAGGGCGCGTCGCATCGACGACGGGGATATGCAAGTTGCATTTGCCCAGTCAAATCTGGTAGGACGTGCCAAAACTTGGGCACTGGGGCTCAAGTTGCACGACCCATATGCGTTTGGGTCGTTGGAAGTCTTCAAGTCGCGGCTCAGACAAACGTTTGAACCGCCTAGAGCTGAGTTCAGGGCTCGAACCGAACTCTTGAAGCTCAAGCAGGGTAAGCGTGATGTGCACGCTTACGCTCAACATATACGACATCTCACGAGTTGTATAAGTTCCAATCCGGTGGATGAACACACGTTGGTTTCGGTGTTCATGCAGGGTCTTGCGGATGGTCCCGTCAAGACTCACCTGTTCCGGCTTGAACTAGATTCACTAGAACAAGCCATTTCCATTGCGGAGCAGGAAGACTTCAGTCTGAGACAGGCTCGCGCCAGCTCGACATCATATCGTCAACCTAGACGATATGACAACGGAGGTCCAGAGCCGATGGAACTCTGTTATGTAGAGAGCGAGAAGGCTCGCTCTACAGGCTACAAGAAGTTGCAGAGATGCAACAGATGTCAAAAGACAGGACACTACGCTTACGAGTGTAGTGCCCCTCGTCCAGTGTCTCGCGACACTGGGCATAGTGACCGTCCACCCATGAGAAAGGGGCAGGGACGAGGGTCCGCTGTTGATGCAAAGACGCAACAACGGGATGGACCGTCAAAAAACGGACAGGATCAGTAGGTGCGGAGCACCCTACTGATCCAGCAACGTCAAGAGAATTTGTAGGCCTCTTGATGAAGGTTTCTCCCAACACACAAACGTTGTGCGTTGCTGCTCTAGGTAATGAGGTCTCACTAATTACCTTGAAACTCGAAGTGACGAATAAGTTGTCCCTTCGAGCTCTAGTCGATTGTGGGGCGTCCAACAATTTTGTGCGACGCCAATCGCTAGAAGATGGTCACTTTAAGTTCAGTGAATGTGACACACCTCCTACGAGGATGACGGTACGTCTTGCGACAGGCGCATCCGTAACCGTCATGAAGCGTATAGTGAAGATCCACTATACGCTAGAAGATACCCAATATGACGATGCCTTATCGTATTGGATTTGGATGACAAATTTGATGTCATCCTTGGAATACCGTGGCTCAGAAGGTACGAACCACGTGTAAACTGGCAACATCGGACAGTAACGATGCCTGCCGCTTGTTCATCAGATGGCCATCTGATGAACGTTTTGGAGCGTCCACAAGCGTGTGGATGTACTACGAGTGAGTGCGATGGCCTCACTTGTGGTACGGTCGTTAGTACGACTGCACAAAACCTTAGTGTACCAAACGGTTACACTTCGGAGCAAAGTTCCGGCGGCTGTGAGGAAACACAGGCTGCGCCGAAGGTCCACCACTCGAATAAGTCGGGTGGACTGGGACAAAGATGTATCCCTAGCGGGGAACATCTAGAAGAGAAAAGATCGATCGCTCAGGTTAAGCGAAACGATAATCCTAGATCGACTGGAGAGTCTTTCGTAGAGGATCTCGCTGTGGTTGCGCAACCCCAGCTAGAGGAAGTAAAGGGAATAAGTCCCAAGATTACAAATACGGCGGAAATAAGTTCCCCGAAATCCGCGGGAATAAGTCCCCGGGAAGACGAAGGAATAAGTCCTTCGAAGCCTGAGGGAATAAGTCCCCAGGAAATGACAGAGACATTGAATGCCATAGTCAATAACGGATCAAGTGTAGGCGCTTATACACTTGATCTGATTGCGCCTCCGAAGTTGACTTCGGAGATCACTCAGTTGCCAACGCTCGAACATAAAAGGTTCTTGCGTGATCTGCGTAGTGGCAAAGTCAAGCAGATCTGCGTACTCGTCGCTGACGACGAGTGTGTAACCGACATAAGGTCAGCAACAGTGTTTACTGAGAACGAGAGAGTTCTCAGTAGTTCATCTATGGACGAGAGTGTCCTAGATGAAAAGACACGAATTGAGCGATATGACTCCCAATCGTGGGAATCGCTCAAGACAAATCCTCTCTATGAAGATTTGGTTGAATTCAAGGATGTATTCCCTGAAACTGTTCCGTGCGAATTACCGAAGGATAAAGGTATTCGACACGAGGCCGAGCTTAAACCAGGCTCGAAGTACTGTGTCATGAAGCAGTGGCCACTGCCTCGTAAACAAGTACTTGCGATCGACAAGTTCTTTGCCGATCGTTTAGCTGCGGGCCATGTGAGGGAATCAACTTCCCCACATAGCTCTCCGACCTTCTGTGTGCGAAAAGCAACAGGAGGGTGGCGGATAGCGCACGCGTTCAACAAATTGAACGCTGCAACGGTACCGGCTCAGACGCCGATACCGAGGAAGGACGTAATCATTGATGGCATGTCAAAGAGTACCATCTTTTCGTCCATGGATTTGATGGATGGCTTCTATCAAATCCTTATGCGGGAACGGGATATACCCTATACCGCAGTTAGCACGCCTAGCGGCATGCTCTGGGAATGGCTAGTAATGCCACAAGGGCTCAGTAATGCCCCTGCCACGTTCAACAGACGTGTATCACATCTGTTGAGACCAGTACGAGAATTCGCGCCGATTTATTTCGATGACGTATTCATCCATAGTCGAGCTATGGATGGAAAGTCGGACGTTGAGGTTCACAGGTACCACGTCCGACAGGTTCTTACAATCATGCGAAAGCATCAATTGTATGCAAACCTCAAGAAGTGTATATTTACCGCAAGCGAAATACCACTTCTTGGGTGCATCGTTGGTAAGAACGGTGTACGTCCTGATCCCGAAAAGATCAAGGCGATCACCGACTGGCCTATGCCAGTTGACGTCAAAGGTCTTCGAAAATTCCTTGGGCTAGCGGCGTATTTGCATAAGTATTCACGCAATTACGCCGAGATGACTGTGCACCTCTCTCGTTTGTTGAAAAAGAACGAGAGGTGGTTATGGAACGCTGAATATCAGCGCTCCTTTGATGGTATCAAGCAGAGCTTGATACAATCCCCAGTCCTAGCAATAGCCGATCAGGACAGACCATTTCATGTGGTCTGTGATGCCAGCGATTTCGCAATCGGCTGTGCATTAATGCAGTACGACCTTGAAGGCGTTGAACGCGTCGTCTGCTATCAGTCGCGTCAGCTGCAACCAGCTGAGCGGAACTATCCAGTGCATGACAAGGAACTCCTTGCCATGAAGTATGCACTCGCGAAGTTCAGAGTCTATCTATTAGGAGATAGACCCTTCGTTGTTTACACTGACCATGCGTCATTACGCACGGCAGTGAACAGCCCGCACCTTTCACAAAGAATGGCGCGGTGGTTGTCATTCTTTGCGGAATACAACTTTACGGTCGAGTACAAACCAGGACGACTTAATGTCGTCGCTGATGCACTCTCACGTCGTCCCGACTTTAAACCAGTCGTGAAATACAACAGTGAGACAGCCACTGTTGCGGTTATGACGTCCTCAGTTCCATCTACAACGTTGTATGATGATGTGAGGCGGGCATACGCCCAAGATGGTGAGATTGTGAAGTTGTTGACACATCTCTCACAAACATCTCGAGAATCGTTGAAACGATTGTCGCCTGCGTATCGATCTGCATCAGATCGATACACTACTCGCAACGGGTTACTGTACTATACAGCCGTTTCTGGTGACACACCACGTGTTGTCATCGCAGATTATACTGATCTGCGTTTGCGGATCATGTTCGAGTATCACGATGCTCCTATAGGAGGACATCGTGGTCGTGAGAAAACATATCTCACGGTGAATCGAGACTTTTACTGGCCCCGCCAGTATCAGTTTGTGCGAAAGTATGTTCGTGCATGCGAAGTCTGCCAACGAGTGAAGTCAAGTCCTTCACTGCGTGCACCTTTACAGCCTCTACCGGTTCCGGCTGAGTGCTGGGAATCCATCTCAATGGATTTCGTCTTCGGTTTACCCAAAGACGCACGCGGGAATACGGGTATTCTCGTATTTGTTGACAGATTCAGCAAAATGGTACACCTTGTGGCTGTACCAGAGACAATCACAGTAAGTGACTGAGGTTGTGTCTTTATCGACACCATCTTCCGACTTCATGGTTACCCTGTGAACTCGCATTAGACAGAGATCCACGTTTCACTGCTGATTTCTGGCGTTCCGTGTTCAAATCACTCGGAACGCGCTTGAAGATGTCGACATCTGATCATCCAGAGGCAGATGGTCGGACGGGAAGAGCCAATCGTGTCCTCGAAGAGATACTTCGAGGATACGTACACTCCTTTAAGAGTTGGAGTGAGTTCTTGCAAATAGTAGAGTTTGCCATTAACAACTCGGTGCATGCGTCCACGACACATACACCGTTCTACGTTAATGGCTTGCGCCACCCGCGTGTACCCACCTTACTAGAGTTTAACTCTGGTTTAAGGAGGGACTCGCGCGAGCAAAAACCGATTTGGGTCACGCTCATCACGCTCGGACGATGAGGTCATTGCGTTTGATGCCGATATCGATAGCATCGATATTGAAAAAGATGATGCCAGTGAGAGCGCGGAAGCCCTCACTGAAGAAAAGATTGATGTTGCTGCAGTACACTTCGGCGCACTGAAGCTAACGAGTCAGCAGATGAGTTCATACTGGCTCGTGAAACGGTAGTCCGTTTCGTGCAAGACTCCATCGCCGAAGCGGTGAATAATCAAAAGCAAAACGAAGACAAGAATGGAAGGTCAAACACTCTTTTAATTAATAAAGGTGACTTCGTCCTACTCTACGGTTAATCTACCAAAGCATGTAGTGACTAACTTGGGTAGAAGTAAACTACTACCCAAGTACATCGGCCCATTTCGTGTATTGCACCGCCTAGGCAATGCATACACGATCGAGTTACCACGTAAGATGCGAACGCATCCCACGTTTTACGTTGGTCGGCTTAAGCCGTACCATCAGTACGCTGCTTCTTCCGATGAAGAACGCCCTTGCGTTCAAGCATCTCGCAGAGAGCCTTATGCTCCCGATGGTGGGCATCGACAAGGGTCTAAAGAGCAGCTATCTCATCCCGAGACCGATCAACAATCCCACGAGCTACCCTTAACTCGTCACGAAGAGGTGTCAGAGCTCTCTCATTCTCAAGCTGAGCAAAGGCAAACTCAGGTCGATGCTCCAAGACAGTGTCCGCCAATTGGAGACGCCTGTCCCGCTCATGTTCGAGATCGTTGCGTAACCCTTGCGTTACGCGATCAAAGAATCTCTCGGGAACACACGGATCCCCATGATCGTGTGGAGAGCGTCTTTCCCCCTCCTCCACCTCCATTAGAGGACTCTCGCGGTGGCCAGCGCTATCTAGTTGAGCAGCTGTTGAACCACCGCGACGTGAACGGACGTCGGACGAGTTATCTCGTCCGGTCCGCGCGACTATCGTCCGTACTGGGATTCTTGGGAGCCCCGCTCCCAACTGATAGTTGACGTACTGGGTTTGGTTGAGCAGTACGACGCGGCACATCCTGTGCCGCAGAAGGACCGCCGGAGAAAGTCTTCCCGGCACGGTCGTAAAGGGATTTCAAGTTGTCAATCCCTTCGTACATCTCAGTAGAGATACGTACGCGCCACCACGGGCTATTAAGGAGGTAAGCTTCCTTAGGTGCTCGTGCAGAGTTTTTCACACAACATGGGCACGAGTCTCCCCAAGAGAGGCAGGGTAATCCCTTCTCCCTTGACAGACGATGCAGCTTGTAGCGTGCACCTGTCGGGGTTCGCTTTTCAAACTTATCACGAGCTTTGATAAGTTTGTCGTTCCAAGCGTCACGACCTACATCCTCGATTTTTTTATGAATGTAGGCGTTCCACGCTTAAAGTAGTGAGGGACCATCACGCTTGTGATTCCCACTGTACCATCGATGCTTAAAGAAAGCATCGATGAAGAATTCGTTTCAGCGCGATAGTTTTTCGCGCTGGGGTCAAGGTGATGGATCCTTGACGAATCGAACAATCGTGTTCGATAACGATCACTCGTCGTCGCCGACAAGTGATCCATGACGGATTTTGGAGGCATCCATGCCTTCTTCTCAGGAGCGAGACGCAAGACATTGCGGTCCCGCTCTTCCTGCGACGTGCCGACAGAAGTACTGGCACCTCGTTGCGAAGTGGTGTCCATAGGAGAACCGACACCACTGTTAGCGCCCGAGTCTCGCGACCTCGAGCGCCTTCGCTTCGGCGATGGTTCATCTGATTCATCAGATGAACCAAAGATGCTGCGACGCAAAGCATCGTCCATGCCACGCTTGGCAGGCGGCTTAGATTCGATCGCCGTCGATACGGATCCGTCATCCGTATCAGGAGAGTACGAGACACCGAGCTCGTACTCTGTGAAGACACGAGTGTCTTCATGACCAGCGCCTGCATCACCAAGTGACAAAGGATGAGTCGCTTCAGCAACCGATGAGACATCAGTTGCTGTGGTTTCTGCTTCGGCGTCCGCACAGAGACGTGCGGACGCGCTCTCGGCGGCCTTGCTCGCGCATCGCATGGGCTTGTTAACCATGCGATGAGATGTTGGAAAGTGGACGCGGACCAACAAGTGCAAACCCTGTCCCAAATGATTTGGGACGAGTATCCATTTAGTCAATCAGTCACTAAAGTGACTGATGGTTAGGGGGGGTGATGTAACGGGGTGAATCGTTACATAACAATTTATAAGAAATTGTTAATAGAATATAACTATAAGAGTTGTATTCTCAGAATATTGTCATAAGGACAAATATTCTGTAGCACTTACGAGCAGTTCCTAATTGGTTGATATAGGCCATTATATCAACCAACGAAGACGCGCCACGACAGACGCACGCAATGAGTGGTAAGCAGATAGTTGATTTACACATTTGTATTTAGACATAGTTAGACGAGGATAAATAGTGATTTATTGCAGACATTAACTATTATAAATACAGTTCTACTTTTTACTTTAACCAAGTACTCGCTTCTTCTTACCGTCTTCCTCTGCACGTACGAGTGTACGTGAAGTTACGAGGCACCGCCTTATTCTGTCATCAGAATAAGTAGCTTGTACTGTCATCAGTACAAGCTTCAGGGTGCCCCGTTGCAATAGCCTTCCTCTGCATGTACGGTGTACGTGAAGTGACGCGCGGCAATACCTACACTGTGTCAGTGTAGATGAACTAGTACTGAAGCAGTACTAGTGACCAGTGCCCCGTTACACCTGGTAGCCTTTGTAGTCCTTCCAAGGAACTTAACCCCTACATCCGATAGGAACATGTTGAATGATGACAGTGACAATTTTGACGCCACGCGTAAAAGATATTCCTATTTAAACAATATAGAATGGAGTGCGGTCGAACGAGTGGGTTCGACCGTGGGCGAACATACCGTCTCTGCCATGCTGTCTGCAATGGACAGAGTTGGATTCATGCCACCGTCTCCAAGCTTATAAAAAATCAACTTAACGATACACGGGAGAAAGGAACCTTGATAATTGATCAAGGTTCTAAACAGGCCGAGCTGTTGAGAGAACACGGTGCTCAACAACCCGAACTTTTTACTCAACAGTAACACATGCTGCTGTTCCCGGGCCGACGCACGCGCGTCGATCCGAACCTTCGAAGATAGACATCTCAAAGTACAGAGGAGTCGAACATGGCTCCCTGTTGAGATGGTACGTCGAGTTGGAAGACGCCATAAGGGCTCGACACATCGTCGATGAGCATTAAAAGTCACATTTGATCAGTTAAACCTGGCTGGAAGTGCTAAATTCTGAGAATTAGGGCTCTAGTTACACGATTCATACGTGTTTCAGTTGTTAAAGGTCTTTAAGACTCGGCTCGTAAAAACGTCAAGCCGCAACGGGCTATGTCAAAGGCTCAATCAGAACTCATAAAACACAAACAGACAAAGCGTATTATCCACGCTAACGTCCAACACATACGACTCCTTGCGAGTTGTATTAAGGCCAACCCGGTCCATTAACGTACGTTAATTACGGTGTTCATGCAAATCCAGCGGATGGTCCCGTCCAGAAGCATATATTCTGCTTGTAATTGGATACGCTCGAACAAGCGATCTCAGTGGCGGAACAGAGAGACTTTAGCATTAGACAGGATCGTGTTAGTTTAGGTTCATATCGTCCCATAAGACGACAGGAAGTCGAAAGTCTAAAATCTATGGACCTCTGTAATGTTAGAAGCAAAAACGATCGCTTTTTAAACAGTTAGCGATTGCAAAAAAAATTAATTACTGTTGAAAAATAGGACACTTCTCCTACCAGTGGAGTGCCCTACATCCAGTATCTCGAAACACTGATCGAACTGTAAAACACTTCTCAATAAGGGCAGAGGACGCGGGTTCAACGTTGTTGCGAAATTGCAACAGTGTAGTGGACCGTAAAAAACGGTCAGAATCAACAAGGGCTGAGCTCCCTGCTGACCCAGCAACCTCAACAAAATTTGAAAGCCTCTTGATGAAAGTTGCTCCAGGCTCATAATAACTGTGTATCGCTGCACTTGGTGATAATATATCACTCATCACCTGTAAGTTATAAGTGACATAAAATCTGTCACTCTGTACCCTAATGGTCTGTGGGGCGTCAAAAACTTTGTTTGTCGCCAGCGGCTAGAAGATCTAGGATCTAAATTATTGGGCGTGATACCACTCTAAAGATTATGACGGTGCGCCTAGCAACAGGCGCATCGATAACAGTAACAAATGTTCGGTGGGCTTCACTGCACGCCAGAATGTTTATCGTGTAATGTAATTTTCATCGTATAAATTTTTAGACGGCAAGTTTGGTGTCATCCTAGGTTTGCCTTTGTTTAGAAATTACGAGCTAAGGATCAGCTTGCAGCATCGAACCGTGAAGATGCCTGCAACTTGTTCAGCAGGTATCCATCTGGTGAACGTCTTGGATCGTCCACAAGCGTGTGGACGCACTGCGAGTGAGTGCGATGGTCTCACTTGCGGTACGGTCGCTAGCACAACCGCTCATGATTACAGTGTAGCTAAAAATCACATCGTGGGGGGAGCTGCCGGCGGCTGTGCAAATGCACAAGTAGCGCTGAAGGTCCCCCACTCGAAGAAGTCGATTTTATTGGTGCATGGGTGTACACCTAGCGGGCGGCGTTATAAAGAATAAAACGGTTGCCCACACTGGACAACAAGACAATCCCAGATAGGCTGGATAGTCGATCGTATAGGACCTGGACACGGTAGCGCAACTACAGCTGGAAAACGTCAAGGGAATAAGTTTTCACGTACTTGATGAATGAATTCCGCCATCGGTTATTGATGAGGTAGCAAAATCTCATCAACCTGAGGGAACATATCACCAGCATCCTGTTAGAAGGGGTTCCAGGAAGAAACCGAGACATTGCTTGTCGTGGTTAATGACGGGGCAAGTGTGGGGCGCGTATAAAATTGATCTAATAGTGCCTCCAAAGTTTCTTGTGTAGATAAATCAGTTGCCAGTGCTAGAATCGGAACGAGTTTTGTGAGAAAGGCGTAGTAGCAAAGTCAGTCACATATGTACTCGTCGCAGAGTAAGAGTAAGTGACCGAGTTTTGGTCGGCAGTTTGATTTGCAGAGAACGAACGGGTCCACAGCAGCTTTTCAATAGACGAAAGTGTCCTCGGTAAAAAGTATCGGATTGAGCGATACACGTCTCAATCTCGACATGGATTCAGGTAGATACTTTATACAAGTATTTGATCGATCTCAAGAATGTGTTGCCCGAATCCGTACCATGCGAGTTGCCTAAGGAAAGACATTTGACGTAAATTCGAGCTTAAATAGGGCTAGATTTTCTGTGTCATGAAGCAGTGGCCACTGCCTCGTGAGCAAGTAATTGCTATCGACAAGTTCGTTACCGATTTCTTAGCTGCGGTTTGTGTGAGGGATTCAACCTCCCCAAATACATATTCGACCTTCCGTGTGCGCAAGACCACAGGAGGATGACGGATATTGCACGCATTTAACAAGTTGAATGCTGAAACGGTACCGCATCAGACGTCGATACCGAGGAAGGACGTAATCATTGATGGTACGCTGAAGAGTACCATCTTCTCGTTCATGGATCTGATGAATGGATTCTATCATACCCTAATGCGTGAACGGGAGATCCCGTACACGGCAGTAAGCATTCCAAGCGGTATGATCTGGAAGCGGCTAGTAATGCCACTCGAGCTTAGCAACGCGTCATTACACGCGGCCGTAAACAGCCCACCTCTCCTAAAGCATGGCAAAATCGCTTTTCTTCTGCGCGGAGTCCAAAGTCTCCGGTAACTATAAGCCAGGACGACTTAATGTAGTAGCTGACGCGTTGTCTCGCCAACCCGATTCGATTCGGCTGCGCAGTGCAACAGTGGAATTAATTTTAATGTTGCATGGCTAGTCACTAGTGCATCTTCGTAAACATTGCTAGACTACATAAAAAATTCGATGCAGAAGATAAGGCGCTTCTACGAACAATGATTTATCTGGTGACTCCATCTCGCAAATCTCTCAAGGAATTACCGGCCTATTATATATCTTCCGTGGATCGATACATAACGCGCAACGGGTTGCTGAACTATATAGCCCTTGCCGGCGACATAACTCGTGTTGTTGTCCTTATTCACAGCAATTTGCGCCTGCGCATCTTGTATGATGTTTAATAATGCACTATCCAGTGTGCATTGTGGTGGTGAGAGGACTCAGCTCACGGTAAGTCGCGACTTTACTGGCCCGAATCTATCGGTTCGTGCGCAATAATATTATTGCTTGCGAGGTATGTCGACGGGTGGAGCCTAGTCGGTTGATACGTGCGCCACCACAGCCCCTACCCAAGATGCCATGCTAGGTGATGTAACTGATCACTCACACCGAAAATCGTTTGGTCTGCTTGAGCTAATCGCTATGCAGAGAAATTTTGCTTAACAATGCGTGGACGCGACAGCTAGAGAAGCATTATCGAGGTTGGTTAGTGTTGTCTCGGATGTGAGCTTCGCGTCGCGATGAGCACCTACCATCGTACAGCTGTTTCTTGGCACGTAGGGCTTATTGCTGACTGTAGGCTGTGATTCGTAGTGTGACTCTGCGTCCGTCAATGCTGCCAGATGATTTATAAAGTAGTGGATAGACGGAGCCAACAGCAGATTGTGAATGAGGAATCGTGAACTATTTGCGGTCATCTATTAAAAAGACATTTTTTGATACTAAATTATTGAAAATAGGCGTACTGGGTATGGCAATATCGACGTTGATGTGACATTAATTCCTGCTGGTTTGAGCATAGTTTTGGTGTAATTCAGCAGCTCGAGCGTATACTATTGACAGTATGTATTTATCGATGGATGCTGGAATTTTAATTGACACGGCTTTGGACGCACAAGGCCGATCAAGATCAATAAGGTAAGTTGATGAAAAATTGTTGCTCAGAGAAAACACATAGCACAAATAATCAAGGTGATCAATACAATCAAGTCTGCTCAACAATATGGTAACACACGCATAATTACACGTCCAAAAGCTTCTTTTGTGAGGTCCAGGAATTTCTCGATAGCGCTTGTACTTGGTCTCCATTTAAATATAAGCATTCACTTTTAGCTTTCGCCTTCAGCATTTTCATGTCGAATGGATACTACAGCTCTGGGTCATGCGCCTCCATCGCGTCAACGTTCGTGAGGTGATTTATGTCAAAAATGTCGGAGAACGTGATGCTGTTAGAAGGAACCATGAACAGGATAATTATTGGCGACTGAATCATCAGCTGACCCATAATGCAACATTTTACAACGATCGAGATAGTAACCCAATTGCTCGCACGATTTCAACGATGAACTCTGCCACCGATAGCGCACCAATACACTTGACGCATGAAAATTAATTCAAGCATCCAATTGTAAAACATGCTTTTGAGTAGTGCTAAGTGGGGTCACGTAGCACTACTTAAAAGCATGTTTTACACACAATTTTACATGACATTATACAGAAGAGGAGTGGTAGTCTTTTTAGGGATAATGTTAAGACTGATTCATATTTTACTTATTGTACATCTATATCTTTACCTTTCCAAGCCTTTTTTATTCTCAAATGGACAAATACATAACCCTATTAGCTGTTATCACTAAGCGGACTGTACTGGGACTCGGAAGGACTGCATCAAACGATTATCTTACAATACTTGTGCCTTTCTGAAATATGACTTTTTCCTCCTTGTGGGCAGTTCGGTATCCCGTGTAACCGCACAGCAATTGTAATCGTGCCTCTTTACATCCAATTGACACCAAACAGTGTCAATAGGAATATTGTCTAGCATGACAATATTCTACCGATATTATCCGAGATAAATACTTTTGAAGGAATATTATCCCCTTTTGATATAATTTTCACGCGCTGCTCCAAGATTGGTTGATAAAAGACATTTTAACCATAGATTGCCTCCAATTGCAGCTAGACGCGCGCAATGAGTGGTGAGCAGGTGTCGTCATATGACGACGTAGTTGGAAATAGTGAGATAAAGAATAAAGTTATATTGATAGCTTAACTATATTAAATGTAGTTCTCTTTTTACCTTTACTCAATCCAGTTGTTTGAGTAGATTAGCTTCCTCGCACGTACTAGTGTACGTGAAGTTTTGCGGCACCCCAAACAAAGGGTGCCCCGTTACAGGTAGCGTTGTCGTTCTCATTGTTGAAGATTTTGACTGCTGCCCCTGCAACTTTGCAAACGCTAGATCTCGGTTTGATGAGTTACTTTACACTGAGAAATTTATGCTATTCCTCCACCAAATTTTACCTCTCTATATCAGATATTAATATCTCAGCTGTGTGTTATGGAACTCTGCTTCACCGTCTTCACGATGGTGATCTGTAAACTTTGATTTCCATATGCGCTCTCTACAATACTCTCGGACGACTTTGGTCTCAACCGCTGCTCTGTAAATTCTCAAACACGTTCATGTGTAGTAATTACACTCTTAGCAGCCCCTACCGATGCATAGATCGTGTCTGTAGGCTGTAGATCTGGCATCTGCGCATCACGTATCAATAAGATAAAAGCGTGAGTCAAAAAGTGAGATCACAGTCAGCGGGTTCTAAATCCTCAGCAAGAGTTTAGTGTGCAAATCGTTGCCCGTTCGGTATTTCTTGACCATCCATTTTGCATTTACACGGTTTTTTTTAAAGGCCATGTACCCTCAGCCTCGTGTTCTTAAAATGCAACTAAAGCAAGAGATCAGGAGGCAGACGATGCCATATTAAGAAGAGATCGCAATATCTTTCATGCAAAGAAAGTGAGGTGGGATGAGGTGAAGAGTGAAGCAGGAATTTTACACTTTGCACTGTGACTTGCCCCCTTATCTTTTACTACATTTTAGGAGGAACCGTCTTTGTTAGATAATGATTATTGCGAGTCCGAAGGGTGAAGCTATTTGTAACTGTGCGCAAGGTATATATATACTTTTAGATCGTACCAATCTGTCTGTGTCGGTCCGTGTGTCGGTAAATAACGCTTGGTGTACCTTTAAAGACGTTCTAAATGCGATCCAGCCTGTCCCCGTCTGATACATATACAGGCACACTCGAAGTCACTCTTTGACTGGGTCACTATTGTGACGCCCGCACGTGATTTGCTTCAGACCGATCAAAGGTGAATATTATCATATAAGCAAATGGTGGACAATGGTGGACGCTCATGAGCAAAGACTGACCGCGTTGCCCAAGTAAACTGTACTGGATTAATACAGACTTATTTCGGCACCATGCATGCTCCTTTTTCAGTGACTGCTATTGTAAAGTGTTGAACATCTTGATCCATTTCTCCGACAAAAGGCTAGCTCGAGAGCTTGCTTTCATATCTTATCTCGACTATGTGATGTCCACGTAGTAAGTAGGGGATGTCAACCAAATTAGTCTCTGAAAAAGGATAGTTCAGTCATAATTTGATCGGGTAAAATTGATTAATATCAAGAAGTGTCACATTTTGATTAGCCAGAACAAATTACCGGTACAATGACCCTCTATCGACCAGTGCGTTTAACTGTTCTCTTATTTTAGAGAGATTTGCAATGGAGATCATGTACCATCATCATTGCTTCGACGAGCAAGTCCATCCTAAAGCTACTATGTCACCTCAATTCTAGAAGCAGATCAGATTGCACCTGTTTGCATGGACCGCTTTAAATTCACGACCAGTATTCTATTGATTAATTAATTTTCGAGCTTTTCGACGTGACCTGATACTACAATCTCAAGACGCCGATTCTACACGCTATGTTGATTAGTTATCTGCAGTGGTGACCGCAAAGAGCAATACTCTACACTGAAAGAAGTAGGTGCCTCCTTCATACCAGCATGCACGTCCGAATGGACCTCAGGCAAAACCCTAAGGATAGACATAACGGAGCCCTCCTCCATCACGTACATGGCATTTTTCGGACTGGTCCGGTGCGTGAACACGACGTAGATAGTCCATGCAGCCACGTGGAGTGTAATGACAAACACTTGAGGTCCTGCAATGATCCAGTTCGAAGTCATCAAACCGAATGCAAACCAGCCACATGTATCGATGGTAGTGACAGCCAAAGACCGCGGCACAATCGACGCAGCAGATCGGTGGTAGATTGCACGCAGTAGATTTTTCAGCATAAGCAGGTGAATAATGACGACAGTCACGCCGCAGAAACACAAGCCGTGTGTTTTCCAGACCTGTGCTCGTGTCTGATCGGTGAGGCCCAAACTGCCAACAATGACGTAGAACGTTGGTACTGCAAGCCAAGCAAACACGATGCTGATCGTTTGGGCAACTTGGCGTCGATCGTCCGAGTACCGCCAGAAAATGTAGAGGTAGCATACTGAGACGATGTCACCGAAGAGGAAAAGGGGGAAGCTGAGGAGCCACTTTCGACCCAAGTACCCGTACATCATCCAGACGTGCGAGTTGGCAAGCCCAAGAACGATAGGAATGAGGGACGCGGAGCCAACAGCTTTTTCTCGGTAGATCTTACGAACAAGGAGGAACGGCATGCAGATTACCAGCAGCGTACTGCATATGACACAGAAGCGAACGACCAAGGCAATGTCGCTATCGACCATCGTATCAGGATTCCAAATGTACTGGAGGTGTGCTGATGGCAAATTGAAAAGTGAATCTTTGGATGAAAGGCTGTCGCAGTTTCCGATGAGTGGTGGTTGCTCGATCGGATTCTTGTGGTCGCTAACAATTTGGCAGAGCCGAAGATCTTTCTCGGTTGAAGACAAGCGGTGGCTGGCTTGATGCATCTATTTGTGTCGCGCGGAAGGACGAGGCATACGAAAAGTAGGTGTGACTCATTGGAGTTGTAGAGAGCCACCTGCACATCATGAGGAAGACTGACGGACCTGCTTCACAATTGACGCTCGGACTCTGACAGCACGACCACGGATAAGA